AAGCATCTGCTGGGTGTCCTGGCAGGAAATATCTGCAGGACATTCTTACAGCTTTAGTGATGGAAAATAAGAGTGCGCTTAGAGAAGAAGTATGTATTTCTTAGCCATGGCTTATCTGCTGGGAGGTTGTCTACTGTGCTCATAGGAAAGGGAAAAAAGGGAAGGGAAAAGCCAAGAGTTCTGATAAAACTGGTAGTCTCTGGGGAGGGCGTTAATGAACTAACACACTGGCTGAAGGCAAACATGAGCAGAACTCTTTAAGAAGGAGGAACAGCAGAGAGAGGCGCCGAGGCTGTAAGGAGGGAGTTTGAAGTTCAAAACCTGTTGTTTTATGGGGAAAACGAGCACTTCTAAAATCCAGATAGTCTCCTGGGAAAATAAGTACAAACTGTGTCCTTGTGGGAATGAGAAGTTTATCTTTAATTTCACCAACAGCATTAAAACAAAGGAGTTTAGTTACAAGTTGTGGGGTTTTAATCATTACTATATTAAACTGGACAAGTTTTTTCATCCAGGCTTTAACTGAATGTTCATGTGTCTGATTAGAAAATACATTTTTCAAGTTCTGTAACCAATAAAAAAACCCTTCAATAGCAGAAATTCAACCTCTTTATACAAAACAACTGCCACACTTCAACCCCAGCACTATGAAATCCTGGTGGCTACACATAAAAAGCAGGATTTAAATGTTTGTTAGAACCATAGAATAATAGTATCATAGAATGGTTTGAGTTGGAAAGGACCTTAGGATCGGTCATTCCAACACCTCTGCCATGGGCAGGGACGCCTCACACTAGACCATGTCACCCAAGGCTCTGTGGCATTGCCTAACTGGCAGCGTCAAGCAGCAGAGATGTAAAGGCATCTACTGCCCACCAGAACCCCTTTGGCCGTGGGGTCTCTCTCAGCTGTGTCTCTAGACCTCCTGCATCAGCAAGGTATCAAAGGAGACATCCAAACCCAGACTGCTTTGTGTTGAAAGGGACCTTAAAACTCGTCCAGTCCCATCCCTGGCCATGGGCAGCGACACCTTCCACTAGAGCAGCTTGCTCCAAGCCCCATCTGGTGTCTCAGTGTCTCCCTGAAAAGCCCAGTGTCCAGAAGAAGCACTCAGAGCCCATGCTGGACTGTCTGTCAGTGCTCCATGCCTGCACCTAAATGAATAATCAAAACACTTGAGTGATTTGCTCACTCACTTCATTGTGCCCATCGCATGATAGAGCTGTGCAGCTCTCCTGTGACATCTGGGCCAGGAATAACCTCCACATCCCGAGTGCTTTGCGTTAGCTTTTGCCAGTTATTGGTGTTGTAGTAGAATGGATAATGCTGTTTGTCACACACTGCTGAAACACAGTGTTTAAAAAAGCATTTGTAAATAGTTATGATTTTCCTTTTTTGATTGTTTCCAAGATCTTGATACTGTTAAAGGATTTTTTTCCCCCCACATTTCTCTTTCCAGCTCAAAATGTTATCAGATGCTTTCCTGGATTCCCACAGCTGTAGCTGTGCCATGTGCTCCCATGCAGGAGAGCTTGCTTGGGCTGTGAGCACCAGTGCTGCACATTCTCCAAAGGCTCAGGCTGCCAAACCCTCAGTGAGTTCAGAAATCAATCTGGGTTTTCCCAAGCAGATTTCAGAAAGGAAAAGTGGATGTATGGGTGCTTGGGAGGGAGGAATTTCTGGCAGTCCTGGCTATAAAAGCTGGAAACTCTGGGTTAGTTTTGGTTTGGTTTTAATTAAAACTAATTTTTGATGGTGTTTTCCATGATACCTAAATTTGGCCATGTTCAAACGTGAGATTTTTGTGCCCCTGCTACACAGAAACCATTGTCTATGACCAGAGAAACCTGCTCTTTGTCCAATCACAAATGGTGCTGCTGAACTGGTATCACATCAGCTGTGAAAACACAAGGAAGAGAGAAATCTAGGGGGAATTTGAGTGAAACAAACAGTAGTCACAAGCTGTGGCTGCCCCATCCCTGGCAGTGTCCAAGGCCAGGTTGGACACAGGGGCTTGGAGCAAGCTGCTCTAGTGAAAGGTGTCCATACTCATGGCAGGGGTTGGAACTGGGTGAGCTTTAAGGTCCCTTCCAACCCAAACCATTCCATGGTTCTATGAAATTTGTTTGACATTTTCTTACAGATCATGTGTGCTTTCTTTGAAGGTGTCAAAGTTGATGAGACAAAAGGTTCTTGCTCCCAAGAGCATCTCCAAGCTGGTTTTACCTGTGCACAGGAAAGGGGGAGATACAAGCTTTGGCATCACTGTTGGAGTTGAATTGGTATTTTTGGGAGAAGGATGAGAAAGTGAGAGGTGTGAGCAGAGTGTGGTTCTGATTCCCAACTGAGTCATCAATGCACTGGGAAAACCTTCATCAACCATTTCAGTATCGTGTTCTTCTTTCTTCTTCAGTCTATTGAGGCACCAAGTTCTCCAAAGCCACAACTGTGCAAAGCTGCATCTTTGTACAGAGTCCAGCAGGGATCAACCAGGACTTCCAGTGGGACTTTGAGGCATTATGGAAATACAAAAAACTGTGGCAAAAAAGCAAGGGGAAAAACCCCAAGATAGAGGTTTCTGCAGGGTAATTATGCTGAACTGAATGTGGAGAAAACATCATGGCCACAGCCAGACAGGGAAACTTGAGTAAGTGCTAAACTGTTGAGGATGTTGAACTTAGACTATACTCCATGTGGATGTTTTGTTGTAAATGTCTGGCTGTGGTTTGAAATGTGCCCTGTGATGATTTCCAACCCAAATATTGGCGTATTTGATAATGAATGAGATCCAGGAGATGAAACTCTTTGGCCTATTTTCAGGGTCAGTCCTAAGGGAAATGCCTGCAGTTAATGCTCAGCAAAAGGTGAAGTACTGTAAATCTGTGAATCAGAGTTCCCTTTGGTTCTGGCTACTTTTGTAATCAAACCTGAAAGGAGAAATGGCAAGGAAGTGCCCTTTACTTAATGCATTTTAGGCTGATATGATCCATCTTAGATAATGCTAAAGAATTCAAGTTTTATTTTCAGTTTGTTTCAAGCAGGCATGATGATTGGCCCCAAAATAGCATATAATCCTATTACTGCTATGATGGTGAGAGGGTTTGTGCTTCCCATGCTAATGTCTTTCTGTTCCCTCTCTCCTGGGAGCAATTTTCCTGTTGCTTTAAGAGCCTCAGCAAGCCTATGGCTGCCTTTAGTCACTGGCATGGCAAAGCTGGTGTTTGCATGGGATGAGTTCCTATCCCTTCATCTCGCCAGCTTGCAGGGAGAGCAGTCGAGGTGCATGCTCCAGTGGCAGTGAGGACACTTCATTTAAAGAAGTTCTTCCCTGTGAGGGTGCTGAGGCGCTGGCACAGGGTGCCCAGAGAAGCTGTGGCTGCCCCATCCCTGGCAGTGCTCAAGGCCAGGTTGGACACAGGGGCTTGGAGCAAGCTGCTCTAGTGGAAGGTGTCCCTGCCCGTGGCAGGGGTTGGAACTGGGTGAGCTTTAAGGTCCCTTCCAACCCAAACCAGTCTGGGATCCTGTGAGGCAGAAATCCCAATACCACCTCTGCCTCAGGTGATTCCAACTCCATCTTTGTCCTCACTTGGGCTCAGAGTGCTTGGGATACCCACAGTATCTGTACACTCTGTTGCCTGGGTGTAATAAATATCTTTATAAGTTTTTAGTGCAGATGGTCTCGGCCCTGGGGTAGCTGCTTTATTTTTGTTGTTGGTTTTGGTGGTATTTTGTGGTTTTACTAATGTAATCAGTTGTGTTCATGTCACTAAGCTGTAGCTTTTAAATTGCTTTTATTGTTGGTGTTAAGAAGTCCTTAGGGATTCTAAGCACATTTTAAAGAGAATGAATGTAGCCTATGAATGACAGAAAGGTTTGAGACTGGTACCCTGCGGTTATGTTCTGAGCTCCATTCCCGCTTAACTGCAACACTTGGGAACACGTCATTTATCTTCTTTGTTCTTCACTTTTTGTCCATGCAATGACTAACTAATGATCACCTGCCACAGAGTCTGAGAGGCTTGGAGGGAAGTTGCAATATAGCTGCTGAGAACTGTTGTTACCATTCTCTCTGTATTTTATGATCTTGAAGTGGGAACTTGGTGGAGACGCTCATGGTGAGGATGGGTGGAACCAGCACAGAGCCACCACCCACCAGCTGGTACATGGAAAGTGTGGCTGTTGCGTAACTCTTTGAGGGAAGATGCTGTGTTTTCCCTGAAGAGTGGCTATTTCCCCTAACAAGACAGCCTTGAGGGGTCCCCAGCCTCGTTAAATTAATCATGGCACAGGGATAATGAGAAACGTGGAGAAATTCTGGAGTCCCAAGCGTGGGCGCTGTGCCTTTCTCCCCCTGCACTAATAGGAGAGCGCAAGGGACAAAGAGGAAAGAGTCTCCCTTTTATTAACCTTTTCAACTGTTTCTGTACAGTGAGGTTTTCCTTGACCCACATTTGCGTGTAAAACTCTCTGCTAAATGCTCATGTGGACATTTTATACAGATGTTAGAAGAGGGGAGGCTAACAGATTTGGTTACTGAGCTGTAAGCAGCAAACTTAGTGAATATTTTGGTGTTATTTCACCATAAAGAACACATGTTTATTATTTTTTTAATATTATGGGGGTTTTCTTTATGAAAACTGCATGGACAATATGTTTATCATTACATGTAATATCTGTATATGTGCATATTATATATAACTGCCTTAATCTCTTCCTTTCTTGCTCCTTCTTTGGCTTCCTGGGATCCAGTTATACTTCAGAGATTCAGGAACTGTCACCATATATTAAACAAAACCTGTCAAATGCAGTTTTAAGTTTCCAAAAGACTTTAACTTTGTGAAGCTCTATCAGTCCTCATATAGAATTACTTGTATTTTGTGTTGGGACCCTGGTTATTCTTCTCCAAGCATATATGAGAGAGGCCTCTAATAAACATACCTCCAGTTTGACCTCCCTTTGTAACTCTACTTCATCTTTCATTTTCCTTCTCCAACCTCCAGTTCTTGCTGATAACCTGAAGTCTAACCCAGGAATTAAGTGGCAGTATTTCAGCTCAGAAGAAGGCATTTTCACTGTCTTCCCAGCCCACAAGTTCCGGTGCAAAGGCAGCTATGAACATCGCAGCAGGTAGGATTTGTCTCCTTACAATTCACTGTATTCCTTAAGCACTGATTTCTTTTCAGCGTTATGCTTTGCCAAGATGACAGCATCCATGAGTAACTTTTAGTGGAGTCCCTTGGGTTTTCTCAGGTTTGGTTTCTAAAGCACTAATATTCCCTTTTAAGAAACTTTGAAGTGAAATGAAGTTACATACAGGTTTCTCACTTCTCCCAAATGGAGAAGTTGCAAATAGCAGCAACCTGTAATTGTAGGTCAGCCCATAGGTGAAATTTAACTTATATTTGAGTCATACTTGACCCCTGTTAATAAAGTAGTGAACATGGTTTCTACTGGTTTGGCAGGTCCATTGCTTTGGGGAGAGGGGTAGAAGGATGAGAGACTGGAAAGGGCATTGGTTGGAGCTTTTTCCCAGTCTCCACCCCAGGTTCAGTTGGCACACCATGGATAGTAGGGAAGCAGCAACAGTGGAAACTTTCTAGTGAAAAAGCACAGTAGAAAAAAGGATCAAATGGTGACAGGGTTTTCCTGCACAAGGGAGTGTTTCTACTTGGTGGGCATGAAGCAAAGCAGTTGCAGGGTAGTCCTTTTTTCCCTGCCTTTTGCTGTCAGTACTGTGGGACTGATAAAAGACTCAAGGGTGGAATCGTCTAAGAAAGTGCAGTGGCTTTAGTATCTCTGGTCACACAACAGCAAATTGTACCAGCTAATCAATGTGTGTGGAGGAGGTATCAGCACATCAGGTACGTTTCCAAGTAGCTGAGTGCCCAGAGAGTAAGCAGCACTTTGATTAGCCATCAGTGTTGAGCAATCAGATGTTTACAGATGTTATCTTCTCTGTGTCATCAAAGCATGAAGTGTCTGGGCTTGATTAAGTTTTCTGTGGTCGCAGAAAGGTGCGGTCTGAAGACATGAGAACTGGAGGTACCCCAGTCTTGATCAGAGTTTTGACACTAAAACCATGGGTGATTTCATCCAAAGCATTTACTCTGGGTTACTGTTTCTCCATGGCTACATAAGGGATATCTTCTTGTTAATATCTACTTCAAAGGATAGTTGACGTGGATTAATTAGTTAATACTTAAGTGCTTTGAAGATCAAAGGACCTATATAAGTTCTAGGTACTAATACCAGTATAGAGCTGCAGGCTGTTTTACAATTAAGAACTTATTTGTGACAGTTGTTTATTGCTGTGCCTTGTCTAAAGTCTTCTGCATTTCCTTTACACTTAAAAAGATTTCTGTGGCTGCCTTTGATATAATAAAACTTAGATCCCCAAACTCACATTTGCCTCTTAACTAGTTTTTGGTCTGGACTAAAGAGGGAAGAGTCTCGTCGTCTTCTTAATCCTTCCTCCTCGCTGAGGCTCTTCCTAATTTGTTCCAGGTTGAAACCTTGGCACAAGAGCTTGTGAAATCTCTCACACATCTCTCACAATATTGAACTGGATCTGAGCACTGCTTTGCTGGAAGTACAGGGTTTGATGTTAGCACAGACAGACACATGGCAGCATTGAGAACCTTCACCAGACTTAACTCAGACAGGCCATGCAGTTTAAAACTGTGCAGACCTAAGGGATTGTGGAGCATGACCCATGTGAAATGCATTCCAGGGCTCCAAGAGAAAACTGTTTCTTGGCCAGAAGCCTTCCCTTCTTACCATAAACCCAACAGCCTATGCTAATGCAACCCTGCACACACAGGTTTTTACTTGTCCTGTAACCAGCAAATACCCACTATTGCACTTACTTTGCATGTGAGTAAGGTTCCCGGCACCCAACATCTACCATGAGGCTTGTCTTGCTTGCCAACTCTTAATCCAAAACTTGATGTGAGCTGATGCAAACAGTAATCCCAAACACTGCTGCTCCATCAGCAAAATTGCTTATTCCTGGCTTAAAGTGATTGCTGTGACAGGAAGAAGGATTCAACACCTGATTTGGGTTAAAATGTTAGAGATTGAAAGCAAAGGCCTTTTCTCTATGTTCAGATTCTCAATTGGTCTTTCCTACTGGAAGCTTTCCTAAAGGCAAAATTCCCTTCTATAACTGATGGATTGTCTCTTTGTGGGGTGTGTTTTTTCCTTTTTAATTCTTGACTTCTTTCACTTGTTTCGGTGGAAATGACAAGATGACTCATGATGGGGCTTTGGGTTTTGTTCCCCTTCAGGCCTGTCTATGTTTCCACCGTTCGACCTCAGTCCAAGCACATTGTTGTCATTGTGGACCATGGGGCTTCGGTCACGGAGACGCAGCTTCAGATTGCCAAAGATGCAGCTCAGGTTATCCTGAGCTCCATAGATGAACACGATAAGGTATGATTTCTCCAAGTATTGAGCAGATTTTCGTTGATCTCAACCATGCTCAGTGTTTTCAGTTCTCATCCAAAGCTGTGTTTTAAACTTGTGGTCCATGGACTCACAGGGATCTGTGGTCTGCTTCTAATGGGTGATGAAGACCTGAACTCGCTTTTGGAAGTCTGTGTTACAGCAGAAGAAACATCTGGGGATCCACAGGCTTTAAAAAAAGTGAAATCCACTGATCTAAGGCAAAATCTTGTTTCTGAGTAGTCTTCAGAGGCTCCTTCATCTTGGCAGAGACTTTAGGTGATGGTCAGCAGTGTGATACAGTGTGCAGTTAGGAGAACCATGCTCCAAGCCTCACGACTTCAGAAGTCTTAGATTGCTTTAAGCAACTCATTTTAGCTCTTTTTTTGCTTGTGAAAATGGAAATGATTTATTCTGCTGCTATATTATATTCTGCTGCTACACTATATTCTGTTGAAACATAATTAGTGTTTGGAAGATTCCCAGACAACTGTGATACCGGTAAGGTAAGGATAAAGCTAAGGACCAAGAGCCTGGATTTTGTTTCTTGCTCTGCCACAGACAATGAGGAAATCACTTAACCTCTAATTTTAAGTATGGATTACACCCAGGGGCCCATCTGGTGCTTCTGTAGAACCACAAACAGTCTTCCAGTTTGGTCTTTACTTTTAGTAATTCACTGCTAGTGGGACCTTGACCAGTGTTTCAGCTTGGTTTTCCCTTTTCTTTGAGTAGGAATGGAGTTTCAGTCAAATCAAATCAAAGAACAACTGTTTGTATCCTTTGCCTTAAGTCTTCTCAATAATAGCGCAGGAAAAACCCTTCTAACTTCTGCACTACTGGAGTGTTTTGATACAGTAAAATAATACTTATAGTTTAGCAGAATTAATCGAACTGAAAGTGTCAGAAGTGTCTGTCTTAATAGAACTCTAATGAAGAAAAGACATTTAAGACATTTATTACTTGGTCAGTAGCTCAGTGGTTATGAAACCTGTTGTACGGGTGTATAATTACAGCTTCGTTCTGACGCTGTCTTGCATCAGTCCTAATTCCTAATAAAGTATGCCACTCATTTAATAAGGCTGCTATGTTATGTGTATATTAATGCAAGTGTTACCACTACATGCCTTAACTCATTTATAGGCTGAAAATTGATGGTAGATTTGGCTTGCTTTGTCTGAGACGTTAAAGCAACGGAATGCTTTGCCTGTGAAAAGCTCTCAGAGCTTATTTCCTTATTTGATTTGGTTTTCTGTAGCACTCCACTTCTCTATAGGCACTCAAGGCTTTCCTGCAAATGCTCTCTGCTGATTTTGTTCCCAGTTATCTCTAGTTCACTCAGGCTTCTGCCCGGAACAGTGTATTAACTATTATGTACGAGCAGAGCGAAGCTGACTTCATCTGAGGAACAAAGCCTGAAGTCTCTTTTCCTTGAATACACCAGGAGTCTAATCCTTTTCAGATTTGATGGATTTATGCCTCCAGCATTTAGGTTTTTAACAATTGAATTTTAAACCCACGGAATCTCTTCAGTTGGCTTAGCATTGTGTTTTCTGTATCGGTGCATAAAGCACTCTAAATAGGAAGGTAATCCAATATAGTTTCTTCTCTTTCAAGATCTCCGTGTTAACCGTGGCAGACACAGTAAGAACCTGCTCGCTGGATCAGTGCTATAAGACCTTCCTGTCTCCTGCCACTAGCGAGACAAAAAGGAAGATGTCCACCTTCGTTAGCAGTATAAAGTCATCTGACAGCTCCACGCAGCATGCGGTGGGATTTCAAAAGGCTTTCCAGTTGATACGCAATACAAACAATGGCACAAAACTCCAAGGAAGTAAGTCTCTTGTTGGGCAATCCTCAGCATTTCTCAGGCTTCCAAATGTATTTTTATTTGGGATTTTCACTTGGGCAGAGGCCAAAGGAATGCAGTGTCTTGAATATTAAAAAGGAAGGGGGGTGGGAAGCACTTGCATGTATTAAGTAGCATTTACTTGACCTGGAATCTGCATGAGTGACTTGAATGTGGCCATTCTCTTTTAATTCATATCACTTGCTGCCCTATCTTTCCATTGAACTGTAATATAACACTAGAGGATTCTATTGCCCGATAGGTGATTTCTTTCCCGAAGGTGTGACGGGGTGTGGGGTCCTTTCAATGAAAATTGCAGTTCCTGCAGGTTCCTTAGTGCTAATATCTATATGGGTAATGTGCCTAACTGGAATCCTGCCTATGGAAGTGGGCCTTGATTCTCAGGGAAAAGGTTTTTTTTAAGAGTGCCAATTATGGGTCATATTTTATGGAACACGGGGTTGGCCTGGCTAAATTTTTCTTCGTCTAAGAATATCCTGCTGGATTTTGGTGCATATATTATGGGCTTTCTCCTTTCCCATTGCCAAGACTGGGGTTTTCTGTAATGAGGATGTGGTGAAAGATGTGGAAAAGATGGATGTGAAACTGAGTGGCACGTCTGCTTGCCAGGAAGCTGTGGAAGGCAAATTCTTGAACCTGTGCTCTGAGTGCTTGTTGAGCAACATGGCCAAAGCTGTGACAGGGTGGAGAAAGCAGATTGATCTCTATCAGTTTAGGCATTTTATGTAACAGATCCTATAGCTTGGTCCTCTGTCTGCTCCAATGAATGCAAATCCTTTAGTGTCCTGAAGGGCACCAGTGTTGTACGGAACGGAAGAAAGTGAAAAAGAAAAGTCCAGGAATGCTTTGGAAAGACTGAGGAAATGTGCTCCTACTTCATGTGGCTTTCCTTCAGTTTATAAAATGCTGGTTTTCATCGAATCCCAGAACCCCAGACTGGTTTGGGTTGAAGGGATCTTAGAGCTCCTCCAGTCCCAACTCCTGCCACAGGCAGCGACACCTTCCACTAGAGCAGCTTGCTCCAAGCCCCTGTGTCCAACCTGGCCTTGAACACTGCCAGGGATGGGGCAGCCACAGCTTCTCTGGGCACCCTGTGCCAGCGCCTCAGCACCCTCCCAGGGAAGAGCTTCTGCCTAAGAGCTCATCTCAGTCTCCCCTCTGGCAGCTTAAAGCCATTCCCCTTGGCCTGTCCCTACAGGCCCTTGTCCCAAGCCCCTCTCCAGCTTTCCTGGAGCCCCTTCAGGCACTGGAGCTGCTCTCAGGTCTCCCCTTAAGGAGCCTTCTCTTCTCCAGGCTGCCCCAGCCCAGCTCTCTCAGCCTGGCTCCAGAGCAGAGCTGTTCCAGCCCTCGCAGCATCTCCGTGGCCTCCTCTGGCCTCACTTGAGCAGGTCCGTATCTCTCAAGAAGTTACGTGCTGCAGCTAGGCATGATTCTGCAGTCTAAGAGGTTTGCTAGCAGGAGTAACACAAGATGGTCCTAAATCTGCATTGGAAGCCAGTCTAAACATGGCATTTATAATTCAGTAACAGATCATCCTGTGCTATCTGATACACTACCTTTCTGATAGCTAGAAAAGGCCCTTAAGTTTAGATTATACTGCATTTATCTATAGCATGTGTTTATATTGATATATATATCTGCATTGCAATTTTACACATGTGTATAGATATAAACACACACAGACACACACACACCCCCACTCCCTATTTACCTACAGCTTTCAGGGAGTGCTGGTACTCAGTGGCAGTGTTCTTACACTTTGGGGTGAGGTCCTGCTCAGCAAGGCTGCAAAAGGCACCAGCACAAGGCAGGAAATTCAGACGTGGTGAACAGCACAGTTCTTCTGCCTCACACCAACAGTCCCCTTCTAACTTTTCCACCGTGCATTCAGGAGTGAGGCTGTATCTCAACAGCTTCCCCAACACACCCACACATTGTTCCCTGGGAACAGGATGTTGGAAAATTAACAGTGAAATGAGTGATTTTTTTTTTCTGGGTTTATTTTTCTTTATTTTTCTTTTTAAAGATGAAAAGATTATTTACAAAAAGTGAGGCACTTTATAAACATCCTCTTCTCGACCCTATTGTGTTTCACCCCATGAATTCTGGTATTTGCTTTGTACACATTAGGGCTTCCAAACCTTTCATTCTTAGAGAAATCCTAAATCCAAAGCATTTGCCTTTCCTTTTACTTTTTCATACTTGTGCCCCACCATAGCTGTTTGCTATGAAGCCTAGTAAACGTCTGTGATTTCACATTAATGAAAGTGTGCCAAAACCTCCTAATCCTAATACACAAACAGTGACAAACAAAAAGGCTGTGTAGGAGGATTCTGCAAGACTCTACAGCTGATGTTCTTGGAGTAACTCCTGATGACTCATGCATCTCCTCCCAGCCAGCACCAGCAGCACTGCAGTATTTTTGTTCTTATTTTCAAGAAAGTTGCCCCCCTTTCATCTTATTGCACGAGGATGGTAAAAACCTCCTCTTGACAGCCCTATCCAGCAACTGAGCAGGGTACAGTCAGATGAACGTGGTGTTGTACCTGTGGCCTAAAGGTCAGAAGTTGGCTGAAACTTTACTGCTAGATGCTGTTTGCCCCCAGGACAAGAGGGACGTGGAGCTGTTGGAGCGAGGCCAGAGGAGGCCATGGAGATGCTGCGAGGGCTGGAGCAGCTCTTAGGCAGAAGCTCTTCCCTGTGAGGGTGCTGAGGCACTGGCACAGGGTGCCCAGAGAAGCTGTGGCTGCCCCATCCCTGGCAGTGTTCAAGGCCAGGTTGGACACAGGGGCTTGGAGCAAGCTGCTCTAGTGGAAGGTGTCCCTGCCTGTGGCAGGGGGTTGGAACTGGGTGAGCTTTAAGGCCCCTTCCAACACAGACCATTCCAGGATCCTATGCCATAGCAGAGGAAACATACACAATTTTCCTAAAGCTGCAGCCAAAGCTTCATTAATGCCTGGCTTTGCTTTTTTCCTTATTTTAGCCTCTAAACCAAGGATGGAGCGGGGGGAGGGTAAGGCAGAAATTCCCCCCACATTAACAGCTTTTACTTCATTCTGGCTGAAATTCTTTTCAAGCCACGATGACAAAATGTACAAGTCAAAGCCTTCATACCTATTAAAAAGAAACCCACAGAAAAAGAAAAGCCAGATGAGACAACAAAGTCAGTACATAACCAACTAACCTCATGTGCTTCAGATCACCTGGTGATGTATGATCCCTACAAGTGCCGTAATTGCATGCATAAACCACTGAGATAGAATATGATGAAACAGGTTGGTGTGTGAGGATATGAATGTACGTGTTCCAAGGCTCTGAGGCAGGCCTTTGGCCAAGAACATACTCAGCTTGAAAAACGTGTTCGTCTTCATGCCCAACGAGACCTGTGATGATGGACGGCCGTGTGCCGTGTCGTGTTTCTCAAGCCTTACACTCTACAGCATCATTAGGGTTGGAAGGGACCTCTGGAGCTCATCCAGTCCAACCCCCTGCCAAGGCAGGGCCACCCAGAGCACGTTACACAGGAACACATCCAGGTTGGTTTTGAATGTCTCTTTTGAGTCTCCACAAGGCCCCTGGGCAGCCTGTGCCAGGGCTCTGCCACTCTCACGGTACAGAAGCTCTTCCTTGTGTTGAGGTGAAACTTACTGGGTGTTAGTTTATGGCCGTTGCTCCTCGTCCTGTCACTGGGCACCACTGGGAAGAGGCTGGCACCATCCTCCTGGCACCTGCCCTGGAGCTGTTGATGTGCATTGACGAGATCCCCTCTCAGGCTGCTCTTCTCTGCACTAAAGAGCCCCAGCTCCTGCAATCTCTCCTCACAAGAGAGGTGCTCCAGACTCCTGAGCATCCCTGTAGCCTCCGCTGGACCCTGTCCAGCAGTTGCTTGTCACTTGTGCTGAGGAGCCCAGAACTGGACACAGCACTCCAAATGTGGTCTCACCAGGTTCACTAGAGGGGCAGCATCATTGACCTGTTGGCCACACTCCTCCCCATGCACCCCAGGTTACTATTGGTCCTCCTGACTGCAAGGGCACACTGCAAGGTTCATAGTCAACTTATCATCCAACTTGTCATCAACTTGTCTGTCCTACACCATGGGAAAGTGTCAGGTGCCTTTCATCCTGTAGTGTCCTCCAGCTACCACACTGCAAGGCATGGACTAAGTTGCACCCATGCTAATGTGGGTGTGAAAGAGTAGTGGTGTATGAAAAGGTCTTTCACAGAGTTTTGGGGTTTCTCATGTACAACTCTTGGGTGCCCTGGCACCAGGGGCTGATGAACTTTCCCAAAGGGAGGATGAGGAGGGCCCCATGATCAGCACCAACAGTGATGCTGAACTCCCCGCACAGGTCTTGCAGCAGCAACACTGGGAAAGTACCATTCACTTTCCATGTGGGAAGTACAATCAGATGCTCCCCTGTGATGCGGCACATCTTAACTCTGCTATAGAATTGCAGGATGGGAGAAGAACAGTGGGGGAGGAGATGAAACTTGCAGGTTTTTGGCTTTTGTTAAGCTCTCTTCATGGAACTGGAGCAGTTTCTGCAGCATGCAGCATGCTGCATGCTGGTCTCACATGCTCCTGCCTGGTTGGAGCCAGGCCAGTGATGTCTGCTCAGGAGAAACAAGCCACAGTGCTTCTGAGTGGCTGGTAGGCACCAAATCAAACCATGTTTGTAAAATGCTATCAATGGAGTTTAATAACAAATCATGTAATTCATAAGACTGCAATGTGTTTAGCCACTGTCCCTCTCACAAATGAACCCACTGGCAATACACAGGTGCAAGCAGATGTCAGGGCTCTGCATGACTTCCCTGAATTCAAGTTCTAATGCACTTTCTGCACTCTCTATATAACTCTTTTCAGATACTGATATGGTCATAATTTATCTCTCGGCTGGGATTACATCAAAAGATTCCTCAGAAGATGATAAAAAAGCTACTCTCCGGGTCATCAATGAAGAGAACAGTTTCCTCAACAACTCAGTTATGATTCTTACTTACGCACTTATGAATGGTGAGAAATGATTTTGTGTTTCCAGTGGATGAAAATTCCCTTTCATTGTACAACTACTGTATTAGCTCTTTCAAGTGTCATTCCATGCCTTAATGGGAGCAGTTTGTTAATGGATTTTGGCCTTAGTTATCCAGAGGCTGCCCCCAGATGTTAAATACTTTGGTATAAAAACCTCAGTGCCACTCTATGCTTCTATATCACAGTGCAGCTGCTCAGGATACAAAGTTTTGTTGCTGGAATTGTCTAGTGGCAACCAGACTGAATTAAATGTGATAACCATTGCAACTGTAAACCTTCCTGACACTGCCCATGTTTCCTGGTGCAGCAAAATGAGAGTATACTTGACTTCTGTATCAGTCATCAGCCAGGAGCGTGAATGTAACATCAAACGTAATCCGAAATGCTTTGGTAACTTAAGACCCAACTTAAGAGTGAAGGTAAAGGTGAAGATCATGGATGTAGTAGTCTGGCATCCTGTTCTTTTTTCCAACAAAGCATTTTCAGTAAGCAGCATGTATGATGTACTACTAAGAGCTGCACACTGACTCTAGCCAAGGAAACCATGCTTAAGCTAATGTATTGTTTGACTGTAAATTTAAATACTCAATGCAGACCTAATATATACAAAAGTCTTTGATTTGTCTGCAGGAATTGAGCCTGGCACTTGTGTAAAGTATGAAACTCTGATGTTTAAGCTAAAGAACAAAGCCTCTTATCTCCAAGAACGTGTAATGTGCTCCTGGTCATTTATGTGGACCAGCCACGGGTGGAGAACAAAGAGCTGTCCTGTGGATTTATAGGTCACATAAGTCTTTGGTGAAAGATCTTTGCTTAAAGTGGTGATGTGAACAGCATGTTCATTTTTTTGTGCTGTGCAACAGTATGTGAGAGGCAAGCTTATTGAATTTTGTGCTAGCTAATTACTTTTTCTATACTCCTACTAGTTTTTTCAGCACTTTACCTTATTGCTTAAATAAGCCTATAGTGTGTGCAGTGCTACAGTTTAGTGTATGTATCATTTTGCTTTTATTTCATAGAATCCTAGAATGGTTTGGGTTGGAAAGGACCTTAAAGCTCCTCCAGCTCCAACCCCCTGCCACAGGCAGGCACACCTCCCACTAGAGCAGCTTGCTCCAAGCCCTGTCCAACCTGGCCTTGAATTTATAGTACTTTGGAGTAAGGTACAGAAGTCTTGATGAAAATCAAGCTGCTTTCATCTCCTTCCTTCCACTTCTTGCATCCCTGTTTCAGAGGGAGTGACAGGTTTGAAGGAACTGGCCTTTCTGCGGGACCTGGCAGAGCAGAACTCGGTGAAGTACGGGGTGCCCGACCGAACGGTCCTGCCTGTGATCAAGGGGAGCATGATGGTCCTCAACCAGCTGAGTAACCTGGAAACAACAGTTGGCAGATTCTATACGAACCTCCCCAACCGAATGATCGATGAGGCAGTCTTTAGTCTGCCTTTCTCAGATGAAATGGGAGATGGTGAGTGCTTCCATTGAATTTAGCTATAAAAGCATAAGAGATTAGGTTCTGTTTGCTGACATTCCCAAATTCACTGTAGTCTTATAAGATGATGCTTTTAGGTGTGTTCTCAAGGCAAATATTATATTAGCCTTTCATGCCAGTAGGTTGTTTTATCTGCAGGAGGTCTAGTTATGAAAAAAGTGGTAATAAGACACAGAATAGAGAGATTTAGGATGGATTCTTATGGGTGAAATTTGTTCTTGTGTACTTGTACATATACAGCATCCATCATTTCATTTGTGGAGAGAAATTCTTTGTACTTGGGGGAAACGATCTTGTCACATTGAGATGACAGCCATCACCATGCTGCATTTCAGTACTTCTGTATGTCTTGAGGCCTTACAGGTAAACTCAGTGGATTGCAAGGAGGGGAAAGCAACCACCTTAGCAAATAGCAGAGAGTATTAGTTACTGTACAAAATTCACTCTCCTTAGCTCTTCTTTTAGCTTCTGCACACTTGGTCTGCCTCCAGCACTGGGCAGAAGAGGAAGCCTGAGCTTGCTGGTGACTGCCTGGCCAATCTGCAGTGAGTGAAATGCTGAATTCAGTGGAAGCCTAGTGACAGTTTCTCCACAGATTGTTCTTAATCTTCTTCTAAGATATTATTACTGTTATTCTTCTATCCTGAAGAATATCTAAATGCAGCAGGCGTCTAGCAGTCTGATTCTCCTATCAGTATGTAATTTATGCTGACATGATGAGAAGGTACACGGATCTTCCCTTTTCCCTTAAAATTAGATACCATGTTAACAAAAACTCTGGGTTTGACTAGGTCTGATCTCACACTACATCCAGTAATGGAGAGACTGAAGGTGTAGAGATCCATAGAGATTTTTAGGAGCATAGCATCGTGCCTGTGAGATGACATGTAAGGAATGCAGAAACCAGTTTCATTTGTGCTCAGGATAAGCATGCACTGTGGGGTGATCCTTTTTGGGTTCTTGCTGGGGGCAGGTTAAAGAGGTAGGGAGCGCTCTTGGGCAGCTCCCATGGTCCTGACAGAGCTCCCCTGGCTGGACACACACCCAGCCTTTGGTCACAGGATCACAGAATCACAGGATGGTTTGTGTTGGAAGGGACCTTAAAGCTCATCCAGCTCCAACTCCCTGCCATGGGCAGGGGCACCTTCAGCTAGACCAGGTTGCTCCAAGCCCCATCCAACCTGAGCTAATACTTATTCAAGCATCAGCAGCTTAAGTCCTGCTGTTCTTACCTTTGGGATCTGATGCCCTTCCTAAAGCTCAGAGTACACGTTTGGAAGGTTGGAGTTGCTGGCTTTACCCCTTGTAGTTCTTGAGCAACTCATGTAACATTTCTCTAGCACTGCCATCTGTAGAGATGTGACCATCACAGTGGTGTTAGGAAATATATTTAATATTATTTTGTATTGCTTTAGCAATTGAGCAAGTTCTGTATTTCTTCATTCAGGACTTTGCCTATTCTCAGTCTTGGCAGAGGAGTAGTTGAGAGTTCTGCTGAGTTTAGGTTGCACATTTACTGTGTCTGTGTTGAGTCCCAAAACAAACTTAGGACTATTTCTGAGCACATCTCTTCTGAGTCAGAATGCTGCTTTCTGTGTTTCATAACCCTGGTAATTAAGCTGTATTATTACTCTCTCACAAAGCCATATCCAAGCATAATGGAAACTTTGAGCAACAGAAGGATTAGAAATGGTGCAATCGAGAACATTGGTCTTACCTAAATTTCAAAGTGTACTTAAAAGCTTATGCAGGCAAATGAATTTTATATTGGTTTGAAGTAAAAGAGTCATTGAGTTTCCAAGTAGCAGTGATGTAGAAGGGAAAGAAATAAGACATTACTGAGAGTTCTTACCTCAGGCACAAGATGCATCCCAAACTGTTGCGTAATTATGGGTATGAGTCCCGGTACAGTGGCCATACTGGGATTTAGTGAAGCAGAGAAGGTTTAATATTCTGAATATGCAATTAGATGAGAAAGAATTCATCCCTCTTGTTGCTTTACAAGTTCAAATTCTCTTCCTCCCTTCTCCCTCTATTTTTCAATTGCCTTAAAGGAGGTTAAAAGAGCAAAACACTACCTTGGCTTTTGAGGCAAATGCATTGCTGATCTGTAAGGCATCACTTGGAGAATCATAGAATGGTTTGGGTTGGAAAGGACCTCAAGATCATCCAGTTCCAACCCCCTGCCATGGGCAGGGATGTCTCACACTAGACCATGTCGCCCAAGGCCCTGTCCAACCTGGCCTTGAACACTGCCAGGGATGGGGCAGCCACAGCTTCTCTGGGCACCCTGTGCCAGTGCCTCAGCACCCTCACAGGGAAGAACTTCTGCCTTGTAGACTGACATCAGCCTTAAAACATCAGTTGTGGTGTATTTTAATAAATGGATCAAATACACCTCAGGTTGCTATCAGGAACATAGACATTAACTAACTTGGGTGAGTTAATGAGTTAGCAGCCAGACATGGCAGATGACCAGCTCAGACATGACAAATAACCTGCTCAGCTTCCCTGCAGGCATGCCAATTTTTGTCTGTATTCCTGCAGGGAATGCTGTATAACAATTTAACTGCATAACATGTTGAAATGATGAAGCACATGCTCTGTTTCCTCTAAGAAGAATTAACTAGATGTTATTGTTGATGGTTTTATGTTATTTCTCTCATTCTAAGGCCTGATAATGACTGTGAGTAAACCGTGTTACTTTGGCAACATGCTGCTGGGGATTGTTGGAGTAGATGTTAATCTTGCTTATATCTTGGAAGATGTCACCTACTACCAAGACTCCTTGGGTTCCTACACTTTCCTCATTGATAATAAAGGTAACTTTTGGCTCAGATAATCTCTTCTACTCCCACTGAGGTCAGTAACCATCAAAAGGAAACTCAATTCTCATTTCTCTCAATAGTTGATAAGTAATGAAAGATACTACCCATTAAAAGATGTTGTTGGGTTAGTTTTGCCCTAGAGTTGCTGGAGACTGTAGTGGATTCATGACTTAAAACTCCTGAGCCAAAGTTTTGTTGAGAAAAGACTTACTCCCTGTGGAGATTTCCTAAATGTGTAACAGCTGAGGTTTTCTGTGTGCATTGGGACAAAAGGCAAAACTGATGTACATGTGTGTGCAGCTCTTCTGATCCAACCTCTCTTTGTTGCTTGGGTCTTCAAGCTGTCTTTCATTTACACCTTACCTAGTTCTTCATTTGCAGCTTCTTTGATGATACTATTTGCTTGTTCACTGTTAAGCCTTTGCACAACCTGTCCATAGTCACTGTATTCCTTTCCCCTATAAATACTCATTCTGGGCTCAGTTGTTACACTGCACTCAATGTATGGGTTTGGGTCTTTCTTTTTCAGGATACACGCTTATGCACCCATCCCTTACCAGGCCTTACCTGCTGTCTGAACCACCACTCCACACAGATATCATCCATTATGAGAACATTCCTAAATTCGAGCTGGTGCGCCAGAACATCCTTAGGTAAGGAACTGGGGTGCAAGGCCAAACATTAGCAGTCCTTAGGGCAATACAGGTATTTCCAGAGGAGTTTTAAGAGAATATAAACTTTCCTTTCCTACAATATCTGGACACTTCGATGGAATCTTCCCCCTCCCAACAGTTCTGGTTTGTTTTTATCACCAACTTTCTTCATTTTATCATTTGGTGTGCTAATCACTGGTTTCCATAACTGAGCCAGAAGATACTCCTTCTAATCTCTCTTCCATGTCAGGAAGATTTCCCACTGTTTGGCCTAGGTTTTTCTTTATCCTTTGCCTAATCCGAGTACGTGTTTTAACTCAAAATGTGGTGGTACATGAGTGTGTTTTCAGCATACATGCACCTTTTCTTCACCCAAAACAGATAACAGTAAATCTCACCATATCTTTGGGTATTTTTATAAATGCACAATACATGGATATTTCTTAAGCACTTACTCAGTGTTTAATACAATGTTGGATGTCTTATCTGCCATTGTAGCATTCCCTTGGGCAGCCAGATCATTACAGTTCCTGTGAACTCCTCACTCTCTTGGCATGTGAACAAACTGAGGGAAATTGGCAAAGAAGCCTACAATGTCAGCTATGCCTGGAAAATGGTAAGGAATAAAAGCAACCCCGCTACAGGATGGCATAGCCTAAATTCATATATCGAAGTACGTTAATATACTGAAGTAGTATGATCCATGCATTAATATAGTGGGGTAATATATAGGGATGTACAGGGATGCTGGGGAGGGACTCTTCATTAGGGACTGTAGTGATAGGACAAGGGGTAACGGGTTCAAACTGAAACAGGGGAAGTTTAGATTGGATATAAGGAAGAAATTCTTTCCTGTGAGGGTGGTGAGGCACTGGAATGGGTTGCCCAGGGAAGTTGTGAATGCTCCATCCCTGGTGGTGTTCAGGGCCAGGTTGGACGAGGCCTTGGGTGACCTGGTTTAGTGTGAGGTGTCCCTGCCCATGGCAGGGGGGTTGGAACTGGATGATCTTAAGGTCCTTTCCAACCCCAACTATTCTATGATTCTATGTAAATGTCAGCTCATTCTGACACTATCTTGTTGCAGAACTCTCAGTAACCAGTGATGCTGTTTGCTGTAATTTAATGCTTTTCTTACAAACATTAATGATATTGAAGCTTTCATTGAAACTGGGCATGATGTGTATGCAGCAAGCTGTATCATCAGTTGTAAGAGCTTTAGGAGAGCTTCTATCAGCTGCCTTCCTTTCTTCAGTTTTGAACATATCTGAACACTAGTCTTGACCCAGACAATAAAATGGAATCTAAGGTTAAATACAATCCTTAAATATAATAAGTGAGAAATATAAGTATTTCTCACTGATGCCAGAAATAATTGGCTCCTTCTTTGTGCCAACAAACTCAAGAGGGTACCTGTGGGTCATTTCCACAGTATTAAGTTAAATCTAACCTAAACCATTAAGCTGAGCAGTTTTAAGAGATTACATCTGTAGTTGTGTAACAGAAATTCATATAGGAGGGTGTCTGGAGCTAATTTTTTTAATGTTGTGATGCTAAATTAAATATCAAACACCCTTGCAGAGCAGCTGGGCAACTCCAGGTATTACTAGCCTAATGTACTATACAGGATATTTAACGTATGCAGACCAGTAAAGCATGTGACACGTGCAGTACCCAGTTAAGAGTGGTGATGCTAAAATCTTACTTTGGAGAGTTCATTTGTCTGTATTCTTCATAAAGGGAATACCAGTGTGTTTTTATCAAGTGTGAACCTGAAGCCTCTCCTCCGTTAACGACACTTTAGAAAGTACTCACAGAACACTATTAGAAGTTATTGCTAATTGAACAACAGAATGAAGGTCTTAGTGTAATAGTTTTGCCTGAAGACTAAATATTTTCTCCATAGACTATGGAGAAGATTGAGATATTTTTACAGTTTAGTGGCTCTGATCCGTACCAGGTGATCACAGACTGGAAGGTGGCTGTACGGGAGTGAGTTGCGGTCATCAGACCACTGGAGACAAGTGTCCCCATTGTGCGTGTTGACCTGTGTGGCTTGAGCACAGGACTTCTCACTGTTTTCTATAGGATTAAGTCCGTATTAGCTTCTTTGAAAGGAGTTGTCTGTTTTCCGAGAGTGGGAACTGTGATCCTTGAGAGTGTGGCCAAGTGTGGTGCTGCCTTCCAGAACTGGACGAGATGAGCAGTTAAAGAGAAGAGTGAATGTTAAACACAATGTAAGTTCTGTAACTCCTCCACCTTTCTGTTTCTGTTTGATGACTCGCCCGATGTTTTTCAGGTCCAGGACACATCCTTTATTCTCTGTGTGGTGGTAATACAGCCAGAAATACCTGTTAAGCAGCTGAAGAATCTCAACACAGTCCCCAGCAGCAAGCTCCTGTATCATCGACTGGATCTGCTGGGCCAGCCAAACGCCTGCCTGCACTTCAAGCAGCTGGCTACCTTAGGTATAAGCCTCCTCACAATTCATCTGGACCACCTCGTGTGTGTTTCTGTAGAGTGTGGCAGTAGAGAGCTTCTCACAAAACCCTGGAAATACTCTTGAGAGGCTTTTACTTCCAAGGCTGATTCTTTAATCAGCTGTTACCTTTCATTGATCATAGCTCCCCTGCTCAATGGCCAGCACTTGCACGGATGAACGCAGTGGGACTGCTCATCAGAGTACAAGATAAATGCAGCTTGAGTGCATTTATCTAACTTGATCTGGGAACTCCATCAAGTTCCCAGAAACTGGAGTAGATGCCTCACCAAGCTTAAAACTCAGTTCTCTGCTCTCAGCTGTAAAGCAGCTTATTGACAAATAACCTAAGTAAGATGAAGTCACAGCCAGTTGTGCAGGGCTCCTATTCTTTCGACTTTGGATTTGTGCAGGTTTCTCATTGCCATAATCATTTAATACCATCAATCCATGTGAAGCCAGAAGTTAAGCCTGTTGGCGGAAACTGAACTTCAGTGGTGTGATGGTTTCCAGCCCCTCCTTACCTGCTTCAGTTGTTGGGTTACTGACATATTCCTGCTTTTAAGCTTAACCAATTCTGCTCTGCCTAAGTTCAGTAGTTGCTCAAACATAACAGGAAAGAGGGAGAGTCTCCATGGCAGTATAAATTCTAGTGTCTGGAAAGAATAGGGAGCTTAAAATATATCCTAAGAACATAGAAGGTTTTTATCTAATCATAGTAAGTTGCAAATTTTCATATCTGAGTATTAACCTTTGGGGATTTGCTAAAATCTGTGCTATATTATGAGAAGTTCTCAAGTGCTTTTGTTTGTAGCAAGGTTTGAAGGTCTCATGGTGGATTTTCTTAGTTATATTGCAGTGCCACAAATAGCTAAGTGAGATTAGACTGGAGGGGTTATGGGGGAACTTAACAAACCTATGGAAATTGCTTTGCCAATTGTTTAAAATACAGGATTTTTCTTTCTTTAATGTGCTGCCTAGGCTTGATTATTTTCTATCCAGAAAGACAAGATATAAATGGAAAATATCCAAAAACCCCAGTAGTAAGCTGACAAGTGGAAAAACTTCATGCAAAGCAAAAATGCCATCACATCAGAGTATTTGGTCTGGGAAGCAGATGAAGGACTGTAATAGAAGTTTGTAAGCGATGACTGCAGTACATCTGGTTGCTGGCTGTATGGTGATGTGTTTTAGAGGAATGTGAATAAAAGCAGAACACTCCACATAAGTCCAGCGAAATTTTTCCCCTGGAGACCATTACACATGGGGAAATTGGGTTCCATGGGTCAACTACTCAGAAAAGGAGTTCTCAGCCTTCAGCACTGCATCATCGCCATCATTTTTCTTTTAAAAAGAAAAAGCTCTCTGGTACTGCAGTTTCTGCACAATGAAAGTTCATTTTCTAGTCTGTTCTGAAAATCACCCAGACAGCTACACTGCTGTTGGTAACCTCCCTCTTCTGGGCTTGTAATTCTCCATTTGGTCATTATCTGTTGCTGAAATATCAACTGAAATGAATTTGTTTGTTACCTGTAACTTTGGACAAGGCCTGTAGGGACAGGCCAAGGGGAATGGCTTTAAGCTGCCAGAGGGGAGACTGAGATGAGCTCTTAGGCAGAAGCTCTTCCCTGTGAGGGTGCTGAGGCGCTGGCACAGGGTGCCCAGAGAAGCTGTGGCTGCCCCATCCCTGGCAGTGTTCAAGGCCAGGTTGGACACAGGGGCTTGGAGCAAGCTGCTCTAGTGGAAGGTGTCCCTGCCCGTGGCAGGGGTTGGAGCTGGAGGAGATTTAAGCTCCCTTCCAACACAAACGAGGCTGGGATTCCATGGTTCTAAGTGGACTGACTTTGTGACTCCTGCCTTTTGAAGCAAGGAAGGTTGTTCACATGCAACCTGAGTTTTGTCTGTGCCTGGGGAGCCAAGTGGTGCTGGTGAATGCTCTGGTTTGGGTGGAAAACCTCAAGTTTCCTGCCCATGCTCACAGCCCACCCATGGCCTGAAGGAGCTGTGTGCTTTGCGTTCCAAAGTGTGGGAGAATGGAGGAGCCGACCGAGGCGCGAACAGTGCATCAGTGTAATTCCCTCCATGTGTCCTCAGCCAGGACATCACACCAGATACCCTTCACAGTACAGTTGTGTTTGCTGTGCACTGTGTGCAGTTCATTGGCCTTTCTCACATTTTGCTCTTTTCAGAAAGCCCCACAGTAATGCTCTCTGCGGGCAGCTTCTCTTCTCCTTACGAACACCTCAGCCAGCCCGAGACCAAGCGGATGGTGGAGCATTACACGGCGTACCTCAGTGACAACACGCGCCTCATTGCCAATCCTGGCCTGAAGGTATGCCCTGGTGATGGAGGACATGGTTCCCTCTTGTCCCATACCTTCATTCGGGAGGAACACTCACCTTCTGATGCTCAAAGGGTTATGGAGAGGTGGTTTGGAATGTTGTTCCCATGCCTGGGGAAATGGCTGTGGGCTTCAAGGCCTGGAAGAGTGGAAAGAAGAGGGAGAAGGCTTCCTCCCCAGGAGGGGGGAAGGAAGCTGATAAGCAGCTGTTGAAATAAATACTAGAGAAACTAAAGTTGCAGTTAATTCTTAGCCGAAAAACCTTTGTTTTCTTAAGCACACAAATGAGAAATGTGTTTTGCATGCAAGCCAAGCAGTGTTTATATTTACATGAAGTAAAAAGGCAAAGCCTCAGAGATAATGACAACATTATTTCATTATAATAAGCTTTCCCTTTGCTTGGAATGTGCCAGATCCGTCTGGTGTGAGAAGACTTGAGACAAGTAATTGAGTTTAGATGATCTCCGATCGCTCTGTAGGAAACCCCACGAGCAGCTCATTATCTTTTCCTGCAAGTCTTAGAGGAACCCTGCCAGGTCTGCCTTTGTTTTGCAGTTCTCTGTCAGAAATGAAGTAATGGCTACCAGTCACGTCACAGATGAATGGATGACACAAATGGAAATCAGCATCCTCAACAGTTACATTGTGCGCCGTTACATAGCAACCCCCAATGGGGTGCTCCGAATTTACCCCGGTTCCCTCATGGACAAAGCATTTGATCCCACCAGGAGACAATGGTGAGTTTTTAGGGTCCCGTTATCAAAGCTTTGGATAATCCCAAAGGGCAATAAGGGAAATAGTTGGGATCCATTTCATAGCCTGGGTTTTTTCATGGCCAGCTCATAAAATACTTAACTAGAAATGTTTTCATCCTTGGTGCTTAAATACAGCTTGTTAAAACCTTCCTTGGTTCTAATTTCAATCCTTCTTATTTCAAGTGATAGCTTCTGTTTCACATCCCTGCCATGGCAGATGGGACTATAAATACGCAGGAAATGAGCATCCCCTTCAGGATTAGCCAATTCAGGAGCATTTTCAGGTCCTTGTGCCATCTTTGGTTGCGAATATTTCAGTCTTTCTGTTTGTTTACAGTGGGTTTCCTTGCTCATTTACAGCAGGAATTTGCTGGCTCGATGCTCTATTAATTATGCAGCAGCATCTGATTTGGGAAAATATTTGTATCCATTACAAACGAGAGCTGGAGCCATGAGAGCGCTCTGGAGCGTGTGTGGATGTGTGCTTGGTTGAAAGGAGCCAGCCAGGTACTTCCACACCATGACGCTGGGAAAGGCCTGAGCCAGCGGCTCCGGCTGCAGAGGGAAGGCTCTGAAATGCTCCTGGCAGTGGCCATGCTGTCGTTCTTTGATACAGGTTTTCCCTGAAAATACCATTACCATGGCTACTGGTTAGGTTTTCCTCAGGATTTTGTTCTTTTTGTGATGGAATTTTGCTGTTTTTTTGGTATTAAGATAAATGGGGTGCGTTCATATAGATCATATACATATATATATTTTAATATACATCATACGTACCATAGTGAAAAATTTCTTCCCTGTGAGGGTGCTGAGGCGCTGGCACAGGGTGCCCAGAGAAGCTGTGGCTGCCCCATCCCTGGCAGTGTTGGGGGTTTGGAGCAAGCTGCTCTAGTGGAAGGTGTCCCTGCCCGTGGCAGGGGTTGGAACTGAGTGAGCTTTAAGGTCCCTTCCAACCCAAACCATTCTGTGGTTCTATGAATCTGTGATTTTGCAAATGAACTGAGTGCACATTTACAATCCCGTGTCTTCATTTTAAAAGCTCCCGTATTATTTTCATTTTTGGCTTTGGGTGGGATTTTTTTCTTATCTTTCACATTTCCCTGATTTTCTAGATCCATGATTTTGGAAACGCCTCCATGTGCAGCATGCAATAGTGCCCTGGTTTTTATGTAAAGCCAACGGGCAGTGTTGGGGAAAGAAGATGCAAGTAAAACACTAGAAATAAAGTAGAAGTCAGTTGAGCTCCTTGCACAGCCCAGTCCAGGCTCATAGGTTAATGCACTGTGGTAGAGAAAAGCAAAGCTTTTTCATACAGAAAAGTGTTTCCAACACCTGGAATGTTTTATAATCTATTATAGTACGATAAGAAGATAAATGACATGGTTGTGGCTTATTTTGTGTTGAAAGTAAGTTTATAAAGAGATTGTAGTCACTTTCTGGCCTATTTCTGAATTCTCTTGCCTGAATTCTATGTACAGGATGTCATTCCTTCTCCATTTGCAGCATATCAATTTTGGCAGCATTTACTTTGTGTTTCGGACTGCTGGCACTAAGTCATAGGATGTTTTAGGGGGAAAATGTGTAAAATTACATTAAATATGTTCTGTGTAGAATAAATTAAGCTTTTAATGCAGTTGGATGCAACGAGGAACATTTATTTAGCTAGTCTGTTTTAGGTCTGGGTCCTAATCGTGCTTAGGTATCTGTTTACTATGAAGAAACATCAATTTGGTAGCACATCGTGCAGAATTCAGTGTCTGTCTGTATTCCTGCAAGGGCAAGGATGCTGCCTTAAAGGTTAAGGTAACCATTTGTCACTAATTCTGATCATTTCCTTTGTCTTCCCTTAGGTACTTGCATGCAGTGGCTAACCCAGGACTCATTACCTTAACTGGTCCCTACTTGGATGTTGGAGGGGCTGGCTACGTTGTGACAATCAGTCATACAGTCCATTCCTCCAGGTAAATGGTGTTCTGAGGTTTGTGCCAAGAAAATATACTCTCAAAGATCAAGAGTCGTTTTGGGTGGGAGAGAAAAATGCAGGGTGACTCCTATGTGTTCAAGAACTGAAAACCAAACCTGGTTTTAAAGTGCTTTTGGTGACCTTAGAGCAGCTCCAGTGCCTAAAGGGGCTCCAGGAAAGCTGGAGAGGGGCTTGGGACAAGGGCCTGTAGGGACAGGCCAAGGGGAATGGCTTTAACCTCCCAGAGGGGAGACTGAGATGATCTCTTAGGCAGAAGCTCTTCCCTGTGAGGGTGCTGAGGCGCTGGCACAGGGTGCCCAGAGAAGCTGTGGCTGCCCCATCCCTGGCAGTGTTCAAGGCCAGGTTGGACACAGGGGCTTGGAGCAAGCTGCTCTAGTGGAAGGTGTCCCTGCCCATGGCAGGGGTTGGAGCTGGAGGAGCTTTAAGGTCCCTTCTAAGCCAAACCAGTCTGGATTCTATATTTAAAGAAGGACAGTTTATAGGGTATGTACTTTAACTGAGCATGTGGCTTCTGCCCTAGCAGCTTCTGCTCGTACAAGGCTAACTTCTACCATGCTGGTGAATACGGATCACAAAGCCAGCAGAGCCCAAGTCACTGCTTTTCTACTCTGCTCAGACATCTCGGCTCTGTTTGGGATTTCCCACCACGGGACATCTGCCTGTCTCTTTTGGCAGGAGCATTATGAGGCCGAACGCCTGATGGTGCTTCTCCCAGAGGAATTTACTTAAAGGGAAGGAGCACTTTTGTAAGAAGAGAAGTGCAATTAATCAGAAATGTGATTTTTATCTAGTGCGAGATGGTTTACTTAGTTTTAAGAACTTAGAGCTGATGTGGGTTATTAGAACATGATTAAAGAACGGTTAAACAAAGTTTGGCAGATGTGAGTGTGATTCCTGGGTAAATATGACCCCTAAAGCTTACAGTCACATGTGGTTATAATCCCCAAAGAGGTCTTAGTTTAAAAAGAAGAGGGCTGGGGGGGGGCGGAATCAGGGCAGTTAAGAGGCATAGTGCATTAGAAACTGCTCTCTGAGTTCAAAGAATACTATTAGCTTCTCTGGAACTGAAGCTTCCCTCTCATTCCCAGTTTATGTACAACTTACTTCTCTTTTGGAGGCAGGGAACAGAAGGTTTATGCAAGATGTTATTTAATACAGCTTGCGTCAGTAAAGCAGAAAGATTTAATGCTTAAAGATGAAGCTAAACATATTTACAGCATTCCTAATGGCTTTTTCCCTGTTGGGACAGAGCAGTAACTTCATAGCTTGATGCCTTGCCATATACAGTTAAATGTATCCATGCTGCTTCACTGTCATCCTGTTCCCGTTCCTTCTCCCTGGAATGGGTAATGTGAAAACCAAGTTAAAGGCAGGGTTTTAGGATCTGTATTTGTAAATCTACAAATCAGATTTGTCTGCATCTTCACTGCGCCTCCTTAAAAGCCACCAAGCTCCAGTCCAGTAAACAGAGTTGGTTTTATATGTTTTATAAGGGGCTGCCAGCAGCCTCTGCTTTGTGTGGCCCAGCTGTGCCATTCGCTATCTTCTTTTTCTCAGCATTTTCCTTCCCAGATTCAGAGATAAAATGATTTAGAAGAGTATTTTAAGAAGCAGCAAGTCAAAGGTGTCTCCTCTGCCATTAACATAAGGCTCACAGAGGTGCACAACAGCACACCAGGGGATTTGAGGACGAGCTGATCATTGTGCATCCTTCAGGGATGAGAGGTAGCTTGGTCTGGCCGTGCCATCCCAGTGCTGCAGGAAGCAAAAGTTGAGAGGTTGGATGTTAGAAACCTGGTGACAGAGATTCTCTCATCATTGGGTCCAGCCTCAGGCTCCTGCACACCACCACCTAACAGAGGCACTTCCTAACCTGCCCTAATCAATATTGTTGTCCTGTGTTTTGGGGCTGAAATTCATAATCCCTCCTACGCTGTGGGATTTTAGGGATTTAGCAACAGGTCTATGGCAGCTTCATACTCGGGTCCCAACGCTGGGGACTGAGCAAAGAGGAGCAGTGCAGAACACAACCACAGTGAGGCGGTGGGGATTCGGGGCCTAGAGATGTAGATGCCGCATCCTACATTGACTTGTGTCGGTGGGGAGTTTTAACCCTAATGGCTGTTGCTAAATATCAACTGTCTGTAGGTGGTGGGGTGTCTGTAAGAGTGGAGGGAGAAGAGCCCGTGGGGAGATGGGTCAGTTCCTGGGCCTGTGGCAGGGGTTGGAACTGGATGAGCTTTAAGGTCCCTTCCAACCCAAACTGTTTTAGGATTCAGTGATGTAAACACAAAGGGGGTGAACTGAGCTTCAGCATGGAGGTGTGGGTTCGAGCTGGTTCTTTATACAGCAAGGAAGGCAGTCCCAGGTCAAGTAGGGAACTGAGTAATTAAAATATCCATTACTAATAGAGCCATGAAAGCCGCTTCCTTTCTTCCTCCTCTCCCTGCAGTGCTCAGATGTCTTCGGGACATTCAGTGGCAGTGATGGGCATTGACTTCACCCTGCGATACTTCTACAAAGTCCTCATGGACCTGCTACCAGTTTGTAACCAAGACGGAGGAAACAAACTAAGGTAAGCTGAGGAACTGCTGCCAGGCAGGAAATACCTAAAGCCTTTTCCTTTCCTTCTCCTTTTCTTTAACCAGATGACCCAGAGCTACTTCCCAAGCTCTCTTGTTCTGGGATTCTGCTCCTTTTAGTGTGTGTTCTCTGATAGCCACTGAAAGTTGTGACTGTTCTGCTCATAAAGATGATGAGGACTTTATTTAAGACCAAGCTGTCATCAGCCAAGCAGTCAGGCTGCAGGATTACAAAACCAGAAGATAACTTCATTTAGACATCAGTGAAATCCTGGGCACCCCCCCCCCAGTTCTTTACTAAATGATCCTGCTTCCCATTCTCTTCTGTTTGTTTTCATTCTGCTATTTAGTTCCTGTGAGCATGTCATGATGATGTATTAGCTCTAATTATTAAAACTACGATTATTAAAACAGACTTTTGATGTATTTTTCTCAGAAGTACATAGCACAGCACTAGGCAGAAGTAGTCTGAGTTTATTTAGCACTATGTGGAACTGAACTGCTCCTCTCTAAGCATGGGGGAGCAGGGGTAGGCTCTGGTTTGGATCTGGAGTAACTTGGTAAGAGGATTTGGGCATTGTTGTTTCTTTGTTTGCTTTTAAACCTGAAATCTGGAAGGGAAGTGGTTTTGTGTCGTCCTGCAGTTGTTTTCTGGTTTGGTTTGGGTATTTTTTAATCTGTTTTTATGGTGTACCAAAGAAAATGAGGGTTTCTGGTTTGGCGTTCCTTCCCCCTGCCAGTTAAAAACTGCTAAGAGTCAACAGGGTCAGATGCTTTATTCTGTTTCCTCATTCCCTAAGTGAGGGATTTCAAGCATATTGTTAACTGCTTTGTTAGACCATTCTAACGTAGCTGGACCTGATGCTTACAGGCTCTGTGTACATGCACACAGGTACTAAGAGCCAGCTCTTCTAACTGTCTGGCAGGCATCTGGGGGTTTTAATGTACCTCTACGAAGCTTTTTCTCTCTGGAGTCACCCGTTTTCCAGCTACAAGTTTTCATGACTCCTTTGCATACCTAAAGTGCACAGTCCCATCTAGAGAAGCTGATTGCTTTAAGTTATAGCTGCTCTCTGCCTCCATGAGCCAATGGCAGGGGGTTGGAGCTAAGTGATCTTTGAGGCCGCTTCCAACGCAACCCATTCCATGTTTCTGTGTAGGCAGAGCTTTACACAGCAGAGTGCCATGGGAATCCCAGCCTTTAAAGTGTTGGCCGGCCCCAGGCAGGAGGCTGCCACCCCGCTGGGCTCTTTGGGAGCACTGAGTGGTCACATGAACCTCCTCCTGTCCCCCTTGTGCAGGCACCGATTCTCTTGATCTCGCCTTCCCCAGCGTGGCTGTCTGCAGCTATGGAAACGGGAGATGCCCAAACCAGCAGGGATTAAATCCTTGCAGCACTCTGGTTTCGGGATAGGGGCACAGATCCCACGTGGTTTCCCTGAGATCACATGGGGGAAAGTCATGGGATGAGCTGAAAAGGGAGAGGAAGGGATGGGAAGGCTGGGGGTGAAACAGGAGTGATTGATCTCCCTGTTAAAATGGAATGCTAAAGCAGGAGGTTATGAAAGGCGAGTGTGAAATCTCTGTGTCATCAGTAAGATAGGAGACTAATAAACTGTCAGAGCTTTCCAAGTACATTGTGCTGCATTTCTCATAGAATCCTAGAATGGGTCTGGGTTGGAGGGGACCTTAAAGCTCACCCAGTTCCAACCCCTGCCACGGGCAGGGACACCTTCCCCTAGAGCAGCTTGCTCCAAGCCCCTGTGTCCAACCTGGCCTTGGTTTTATATCATCAGAGAACAAAACGCACTGAGCAGTAACAGTTCCAGGTTTAAAAGCTGCCGGGAAATACCCAATATACTCTTTAAAGCCATTTTACAGTGAATTTGTTTCATGGCCCTGTTAGTTCAGTAAAGGGAAGCCTTTAAAACTTGTCCTCTGGCTGTCAATTGAAGGTCATGTTTTATCTCATTGAGGTCTAATGGGGAGCTCTCTGCTTTGTTGGTTGTGTGCAGGTGCTTTATCATGGAGGACAGAGGGTACCTTGTGGCTCACCCAACCCTCATCGATCCCAAGGGCCACGCACCGGTGGAGCAGCAGCACATCACCCACAAGGTCTGCCTCCTTTTCCCCTTGGTTTAATCCTGCCTTTCTGAGGTGGTGAGGGCTGTAGAGAAGCCGCTGTGTCTGATTTCAAAGGCATAAAGTCCTGGTTTTCACTTAGGAGCCTCTGGTAGCGAATGACATTCTGAACCACCCCAACTTTGTCAAGAAAAACCTCTGCAACAGCTTCAGTGACAGAACAGTTCAGCGCTTTTATAAATTCAACACCAGCTTAGTGGTGAGTGTGTTTTTCTGTCTGCTTTTGCTCTTGAATGTACTTTGGTTGGGTTGGCTTTCTTTTGGAAAGCCTTGCCAGGATGGGCAGAGGAGGCTGGAAGCCAGCCTGCCCTGTGGGTTGGCCTCCGTTCACCCTCCCCAAACCCAGCATCAGCCATCTGCACTGCACAGGCTGTGTTTGCACGAGGAGTCACTTGACATACAAGGGATGATGGACGTGAGCTTTGGCCAAGTGCGGTTGGTGCCTGCGAAGCCTCACCCAGCATCATGAAAAAGGAGCAGTTCTGTGGCTTTAGGTGAGGAATCTGCAGCAGTAGTTGGGATTTGTTGCTTTGGATGCTCTGACCTGACCTCTGGCTTCCAACCCTGACCAGTGTCCCATCCTGCTGTGACATGGGTTGTAAAGGTCTCTGAGAAATTCAGCTTCTAGTTTGGTGTCCAGATAAATGCATTTACTGATGCGAGGTACATGAGGAATCCCAGCGTGGTTTGTGTTGGAAGGGACCTTAAAGCCCATCCAGTTCCAGCCCCTGCTGCTGGCAGGGACACCTTCCACTAGAGGAGGTTGCTCTAAGGCCCTGTGTCCAACCTGGCCTTGAACACTGCCAGGGATGGGGGGATGGAGCATTTACAAGTTCCTTGGGCAGCCTGGTCCATTGCCTCACCACCGTCACAGGGAAGAACTTCTTCATTATATCCAGCCTAAATCTCCCCTGTTTAAACCCATTCCCCTTTGTCCTGTCCCTACAATCCCTAATGAAGAGTCCCTCTCCAGCATCCTTGTAGGCCCCTTTAGGTACTGGAAGCTGCTCTGAGGTGTCCACACAGCTTCTCTTCTCCAGGCTGAACAGCCACAATTTTCTCAGCCTGCCTTCATATGGGATATGCCCCAACCCCTCATCATCCTCGTGGCCCTTCAACAATTTCATGTCCTTCTTCTCTTGAGGACGTCCTTCTTGTGTTGGGGTCCTTGTAAGGTTTACAAGGCAAGAGTATTTTTTTCTGCCTTCCACAGCTGTTCCTCCCAGCAGTAGCAGCTTGGAAGCAGAACTCAAGAGGTTGATGAACAGGTTCATGTGAAGGCAATTTTACTTGTGAAGGCTGCACTCCCGTGCATTTTTGTTCCCTCAGCTCTGTGGGTTTCCTTGGAAGGGGGCAAGTCTTCAGCTCTAAACCAGTGAGTTTCTTGCTATGCTGTTGACATTGCTTGTGTTGTGTTCCTTAGGGTGACCTGACGAACCTGGTCCATGGCAGTCACTGCTCCAAGTACAGGCTGACCCGAATTCCAGGCACCAATGCCTTTGTGGGAATCGTCAACGAGACCTGCGATTCACTTGCCTTCTGTGCCTGCAGTATGGTAGACAGGCTCTGCCTCAACTGCCACAGGTGAGCAGGAGATGGGAAATGAGCCTCCAGGCATTTACCATTTCCTCTTTCCTGACCTCAGCTTTAGAAAAAGCACATCTATTTTGTAAGTGAAATGAAAGCCTGCAGGGAAAAACTGAGGTGAAAACCAAGCAGTTACTTTACCTACATTGATGGTAAGAGACACAGTGACTTGGCATCCTGCTCATCCTTTGCCATGCTGTCAGTGTATTAAAATCCAGGGTAGTTAATTCTCGATATGTGAGGAAGGAATTCTTTACAATAAGGGTGGTAAAACGCTGGCACAGATTGCCCAGGGAGTGGTGGATGCACCATTCCTATAGACATTCCAGGCCAGGCTGGATGCGGTTCTGGGCGACCTGATGTGGTTGAAGATGTCCCTGCTCGTTGCAGGGGGTTGGACTGGATGAGCTTTGAAGTTCCCTTCCAACCCAAGCTATTCCGTGATTTTATGTTAAAATGCCCCAACAGATTTAGTTTCTCAGAGCAGTTATTTGTGGATCAGGCCCTTTGTTCAGCATATTAATACCCACAGTTTTATGTGGCTTGATGTGGTTTTCCCATGGAGGGCATCCTGGTGCTTGCAGGAGGTGTTGACTACACCGGCATCATTACCCGTTTGTGGCACCGGCAAGAGCAGCACAGAACAGTTTAGGTGGAAAAGACCTTTAAGATTGAGTCCACGCATTAACCCAGCACTGCCAGGCTACCTCGCTTTGCTGTAGCTTCTCCTCCTCCTGGGCTGGATGTGGGGAGTGAGGACAGATGTGAGACTTGTCCAGGGCTGAAATGTCAAGGGGTGGGTACCAAGAGAGCAGGGAGGCTCTGCCAGTGCTTTCTCCTCAGTCCCAGGCAGAGCAGAGCAATCCCTGTGTTCCTGTGGGAGGGAGAAAGGTGGCTGAGCAGCCTTCCCCGCGGTGAGCTGCTGTTAGAGCTGCACGGCGGGGTTCCCATCGCGGTGCGATGCCTGAGGCGTTTTCTCCCTGCAGGATGGAGCAGAACGAATGTGAGTGCCCGTGCGAGTGCCCTCTCGAGGTGAATGAATGCACCGGCAACCTCACCAACGCCGAGAGCAGGTGAGGCCCAACCTCCCCTGATACACAGCTGGTGACAAAGGCCGTGAACAAAGTCACCTGTTTGTTCCCACTAACTTCGAGGTGATACAGGCTATAGATCTGGTAGATGTAGATGATATCTAATAGGTAAAAGTGATGGTTTTCACTGTGCTTTGACTACTTCTGTAATACAAGGCTCTGCTTTTTGCCCTGCCATAGGAATCCGAGCTGTGAAGTTCATCAGGAGCCAATGACTTTCACAGCAATTGATCCCAGCCTGCAGGATGGACTCCCACAGTGCATTAACACTCAGTGCAACCAGAAAACAGAGAGCGGGTAAAGTGGCCTTCTCCATCCCTCAGAATACACTGTGTACTTGAAATAATTGAGTGCAAATAGCTCTTCCTTATGGTTCTGAATGGAAAAAAAAGGCCTGATGGCAGAATGAGATCTTACAGCACACACCAGTGGTGAATTTATGCTCCAGCACAAAAACAGAAGACCCCAGGGTTTCCATTTGAGTGGCAGGACACCATTAGCAGCAACCAGATGGCCTTCCTGTCACACTCTGTGGCTCTGAGAACTGAGGGTTTTGCAAATGGAAGATTTGCTGTTGAAAGGACAACAAATTCTTCCTTTTGAGCAAAATGGATGGTGCTGTGAAGTTTGTCTGCCTGCTGGAGATGTGTGCGGGCTGAAGCGTTCGTGGAATGCAGACTGTGCTTTGGCAGTGGTGACTTGGGAACACATCAGAGATGGTAGCTCCCTGTCCATTTCTAGCTTCTTGCTTCTCTGGTCCACTCCAGCATTACACAGAGAAGCTCGAGGGCTGGTTGTTCTTTTGCTAGCTGAAAGAGGTCTCCAGGGAGCTGAGATTGCTGGAACACCTCGTGCTCAGACCGGACTTTCCAAATGCTTTCTTCTGTCTTCCAAAGGACTGCAGAGAAAGGGTGGAACCACAGTCAGACCTCACCACGCTGAGGAATGTCTTGCTGGAGGGGTTACAAGAAGGATTTGCTCAGGCTGAGTGATGGAGGAAAAAAAACAGAGCAAACAGACTTGGGAGATGCATGCTGAGGATGCAGCTTCCCTGCGTAACTTCCCTGGTGGTACCTGAGCAGTTGAATGACAAGGGTTTGGTGGCCAAACGTTATGTATGTGAGGGCTCGTGGATGATTTTGGCCTCCCTCTGTCTCACGACTCTAAAATAGGCTGAGCTGTGTCAAACAAGGAGTGTTAACATTTAAAGTACATAAAGTCTTGTCTTGGTTTTCACTTTCAGGGACTGCTTTGGTGTGTTGGACTGTGAGTGGTGTATGGTCGACAGCGATGGGAAGACCCATCTGGATAAGTCCTACTGTGCCCCTCAGAAGGAATGCTTCGGTGGCATTGTGGGAGCCAAGAGCCCCTACGTGGATGACTTGGGAGCAATAGGTAACTCTGCCTTTCTGAATAGGTGCTGCATTTATCTGTGCTCAGTAACATGTGCTTTCAGTGTCAGAGCATGCTTCTCATAATGTGTCTGTATATATTTTTATATAAGTATTTTATATATATATATATGTATATGGGATATAAATATAATGGGAGAAGGGCTTTGGACAAGGGGAATGGCTTTAAGCTGCCCGAGGGGAGACTGAGATGAGCTCTGAGGCAGAAGCTTTTCCCTGTGAGGGTGCTGAGGCGCTGGCACAGGGTGCCCAGAGAAGCTGTGGCTGCCCCATCCCTGGCAGTGTTCAAGGCCAGGTTGGACACAGGGGCTTGGAGCAAGCTGCTCTAGTGGAAGGTGTCCCTGCCCGTGGCAGGGGTTGGAGCTGGAGGAGCTTTAAGGTCCCTTCCAACCCAAACCAGGCTGGGACCCTGTGAGTGGATAATTTTCAGAGAGGTTCATTTGAATATTTCCACAGAGCATTTATGGCTTTTTCCCCCCCTGTCCTGGGTTCAGCAGTAGCAGTCATTTTTCCCCTTCTTGGTAGCTGGTGCAGTGCTGTGTTTTGACTTTCGGCCTGGGAACAGAGCTGATAGCGATGTTTTGGCTTGGCCAAGGACTTTGTGAGCCTCATGCTCTGCCAGGGGGGAGGGGAAGCCAGGAGGAAGCAGAGACAGGACACCTGACCCAAACTGACCAAAGAGCTATTCCATACCACAGCACGTCATGCCCAGGATGTAACTGGGAGTGAGCCGGAAGGGCTGGGAGACTGCAGGGTTGGAGGAGGTATCGGTCAGAGCTTGGTTGGGCTGAGGGGGGCGAGTTATCGGTCAGCTGGTGCTGAGGTGTTGTATTCTCTTCCCTTGTTATTTCCTTTATCATTATTATCATTGGTGGTAGCAGTAGTGATCTGTGTTATACCTTAGTTACTAAACTGTTCTTATCTCAACCCGTGGGAGATGCATTCTTTTCGATTCTCCTCTCCGTCCCTCTGGGAGTAGGGGGAGGGAAAGAAGGGGGGGGAGTGAGTGAACGAGTTACCTGACTGGGTTTAAACCATGACACCCCCTCTGTTTTGTCCCTTTTGTTGTAGGGGATGAGGTGATCACTCTGAACATGATCAAGAGTGCACCAGTCGGCCCGGTGGCTGGAGGCATTATGGGCTGCATTATGGTGCTTGTCCTAGCAGTGTATGCGTATCGGCACCAGATCCATCGGAGGAGTCACCAGCACATGTCACCTTTGGCTGCTCAGGGTGAGCTGATAACTCTGCAGAGAGAAATGGGAGGGTTTGGAATTAAACCAACTACAAAACAAAACCCAAACCCAAGCAAACAAAACCCAACACAAAACCAACTAGAAATATCCCAAACCTCTTTCCATGGTTTTGTTTCAGTGCTTCACCCCATTTCATTTCCCTTTAGCTAACCCTTCCATCAGCCTGCTCCCATCCAGGTCACTGTGTATTGCTGCCCTCTCCTGGGTGCTGCCGGGCCTGCTGCCACCCGAAATCCTTAACACGCAGCTCTCGTCCGGAAGCTGAACGCAGGCTTTTCCTAGAGCTAACACAAGAAACCAGCCTCACAGCCTCCTGGCCCTTGTCATGGCACACCCATGACCTATGTTTGTTTCCGCACAAGAGCGGAGCTCGTGGGACAGTTACAGTTTTCACACCCTCTCTGCTTGGGCTCTTTAGGATGTGGTTTCTTTACTGGTGTTTCTGCCTCTGGTCCATGTGATGTCCCTGCACTATTTACACACGGGTAGATAAGATAGACCCACTGGAGTCTGAGAGACAAAAGTGTGTTTGGGAGAAAGGGTACTGGTAGCTGCCGAGGTGAGAAGTGTGATGAGGGCTGATGACCTCCCTATCTGCTTATAGCCCAGCTCTGTTTTGTATCCCTTTGCTTTCCTCAGGCGTTTCAAAGCCTGTTCCTTTCAAGGGGACTGCAGCTCCTCACCCAGCCACGCCAAGTGCTTCCACTGTCCTCCCAGGGTGACAGCCCTTAGTAAGATGATCCCCAATTTTTCTCTTTAACAGTTGCATTTTTCTGTGTTTAATGGTGTGTAGAAATGTCAGTGCGTATGTCCAACCTGGAAAATGATAGGGACGAGAGAGACGATGACAGCCACGAAGACAGAGGAATCAGTAAGTACCAAATCTCTCTGAGCAGTAGACAATGACAGAACCATGTTCTGACTTGAACTTCCAGTGCACCCTGAGCGTCGTGCTGAAAACTTACTCCTTTTCAGCTTCGGTTATGTGCAAAGGGGGTTTGCCCCGTGTGCCCCTCATCAGGAGCACCTCCAGAAACAGCTCTGATCAGCTGAGAAATGAGAATTGTGACAGAGCAGGGTATGGAAAACTCCCACCTTTGTTCTGCCTTGGAGAGCAGAGGCCAAGTCTGGCGTGCGTGTTCAACAAACGGGGCAGGAAATCTTACTTGCACTGATTTGGGGTGCTCGTACTCCTTTAGCAGTCAGGAAAACCGGCACTTTGAGCGAGGTACTGACGTGCTGTAAGAGGAGCTGGTGTATCTGAACTGGGAGAGCTCCAGGGACAGAGCAGATCCTTGTCTCTGGGCCCTCGCTGAGAGCTGAAGTGATACCCACGCTTTGAAACTGTGTCAGCACTCGGACTGAACAATGAGTGTGCCTGAGTTTCGTGGCTTCGGTCTCTGCTTCTCCAATTCCTCAGTTTCATTCTGAGCAGGCTTTGAGTGCCGCCGCAGGTTCTTTAGTGTTGACACAGTAATGCTGTAACTTCTATTAATGCAAGCAGGTGAGGTGAGCGGGTTTGACTGAGTCTTGATCTGCTCCACACTTAAACACCTTCGTTTTACTCCTCCTCCGCTGTCTCTCGCCAATCTTCTTCTATGAACCAGTATTTGAGCAGAATGAGTTTGCAGAAAGCCTCTCCCTGTGCTGATTATCCCACTGCTACAAGCCAGGGCCAGCCCTCCCTTCACAACCAGTTGTGTCTGTTCCTCTCTCGCAGTCAGCAACACCCGGTTCATAGCAGCGGTGATGGAGCGGCATGCCCACAGCCCGGAACGCAGGCGCCGGTACTGGGGGCGGTCGGGGACGGAGAGCGACCACGGTAAGAGCTGAGGCGCTGCCCTGGCCCCAGGTTAATGACTGCGCTCCCTCGCTCCCCTTCAGGTGTCTGGCACGTTGCAGATGAGGCTGCCAAAACCAACCCAAAAACCTTTGCTCCTTATTGCTTCACAGTTGGACAGTGCTGACACCCTCCAGCAGATGGGACAGGCTGCTGAGGGTGCTGGGTCTGTACAGCAGCAGCTCAGTGCCCTGCTCCCCATGTCTGATTTTGGGTTCAGGCAGCTTCGCTGGGTCACCAGAATTCAGACCCACAGAGAGGGTCTGCAGCTGCCACGTTCATTTTGCATCACCAGCCCTAGCAATCTAAATGTTCAGCTGGGATAATGGAAATCTCCTACTTAAAGAGGGAAGGCAAATCCCTTGCAGGCACATCAGCATCTCTGCTGCCCTTCTCTTTGACGTGACATGTGCATCTTCCAGAAAACTCCGGCAACATGTGCTGGATGCCTGAATTTCTGGGTAAGATAAGGGTGGATTTAGAGACTGATTGTGTCAGGTGCCTCCTTAGCCTTTCTATTGCACATGATTGCAGTCCATGTATATTGCCCATCTATTGCAGTCCATGCCATCACCACAGAGGACATCTTACATCACCTTTAAGCAAGCAATGATCAACGTGAACTGTGTACATGCATAGCAATGAAGGGTGTTCAGCCATGCGTGTTTGCCACGTGCACACTTCAACCCTGCTTAGGTTCAGGGAGCGTTGCTGTGTCTCTTGTGCCCTGAGACCAAGTCTCCTTAAACCCTGGAAGCTGCCAGAAGGGTGTAATGCTGCTGAGTCAGGAGGCTTAATATAAATTAAGAGGAGGGTTGGACAAGGCGGTGTGTGACAGATGTCAGCTCTTAGCTGCATGTTGTGGCTGGGTATGCTACAGCAGAGCTCTTCAGTTATTAAGACTCTGGTTGCATTAATGGAATTGCTGAGGTACAGGAAATGTAAAGGCCAAAGCTTTGGAATGGGGATGAGCAGATGTCTGAGAGACAGTCTTGCTCTAGGAGGAATTACCCCGATTTGGGGCCAGATGACCTGTGTGGAGGCAGATTTGTTAGGCTCGTGCTCCTTTTGCTCCATTACTTGTAGTCCTGGCAAATCCTTGCCACCTCTGGAGTCACCACGTCAGGGTCAGCAGGGAACTGCCCACCTCTTCCTGAAACGTGCCCTTCTAATTTTAGTTTCTGTCATTCCATCTTCTTCAAAGGGCTGCCGAGTCGTCTTCCTCAGGTCCTGTCTGCCAGCCTGAAACCAGGCCTCAGAGCATGGGAAACGAGAACCAGCTTTGGGTCCTCAGCGTGATATTTATAACGTGCTTCTTTTAGGGGTCTCAGGCTGGAAACCTGACCGAGATGCTCAGGAGCCCTGGTGGGTTTTCAGCTATAGCCAAAGGTTCCCAAGAAGGATGATTCTGTGAATTCAGAGAAGGTCTTTTTCATTTCTAGCTTGTGTTTTTGCACTCAGAAGCACTGAGGTGGGTTTGTTTGTGCTGCCAGCTGGATTGGAGTGGTAACAGGTGGTTTCAGTGGTAAATCCACATCTCGTGGTCATCTCAGAGTAACTCCCAGCACCTGCTTCAAGAAGAGGGATCAGGGGCCCTGCTGGGAGATGGCTTCCTCGCTGAGAGAGCAGGATCCTGTCCTGTGAGGGTTGGCTGTGAGCTGGCCGCTGGCATCCTTTCCTGAGGATATCCCACTGAGTGCAGCCTCTCATTGCTCCCACAGGCAGCTCCTCTTGGGGGTTTTACCTTCTCAGACTCCAGCAGCAGCTGCTTTAGCCAAGGGACAGCCTCGAGTTCACTGCACCGTGCACACGTGCTTAGCTGGAAGTGTCAGTGCTGCTTGGCTGTGTGAAACATTCCCGTGTGGATTCAGGAGGCTTCTTTAAGTGGATGGAGAGCTCATTAAAACCATGTGCTTGGGGCTTGCAGACAGACCCTCGCGGGTGGAAAGTGCTCTCTTCCTTTTAAAGGTGTAATGCTGTGATTGTGCAGCAAGATGATGTGAAGAAGTTTTGTTGTTTCCAGCTCCAAGAGCTGGGGCTCCTTCCTAGGAAAGCCATTGTTTCACAGTATCACAGTATCACAGTATGCTAGAGATTGGAAGGGACCTCGAAAGATCATCTACAGACCACAGGTCCCCAGAGCTGATAACGGTGCCAGGGAAAGGGATCTGTTGGGAACTTAGAGGAGAGGATGGGTTTGTTTGTTTCTTTTTCTGTTAATGAAAAAACTTGCTCCAAGCCCCTGTGTCCAAGCTGGCCTTGAACACTGCCAGGGCTGGGGCAGCCACAGCTCCTCTGGGTGAAACATTGAGCTCTTATTCTTGTTTCAGCTTCTTAGTCCTGCTGGTTTCTTTCCTAGGCTACAGCACGATGAGCCCTCAGGAGGACAGTGAAAACCCTCCGTGCAATAACGACCCGCTGTCGGCTGGTGTGGATGTTGGAAACCACGAGGAAGACTTGGACCTGGACACCCCCCCTCAAACAGCTGCCCTGCTGAGTCACAAGTTTCACCACTACCGGTTGCACCACCCAACTCTCCACCACAGCCACCACTTGCAGGCTGCAGTCACGGTACACACTGTGGATGCGGAATGCTGACGGACAGCGAGGAAAGGAGCGTTCACTCCTGAGCCGTGATCCATGCAGCCACGGGCAGCTCTGTTCCTGTGCTTTTCCCCAGGGCTGATTTCACTGACTTCCCAAGTAAACTGTTAGGAATAAGAGCTTTACATTTGTACAAATGTAAGGCTGGCTCTGGAACGGGAGGGAAATGGGTTGGATGGATGGACCTGCCATCACCTTTAATAAGGTGGAGCAGGAGGAACGTCAGACCTGCAGAAAGGGACCGTGAGTTTATAGAGCAGCTGAAGCTTTGGAAGCCCCGTCCTGCTGAGCCAAGAGGAGAGAGCGGGGAAGAGCCAGAGATGATTTGGTTTCCTTAACTGGAAGAGCAGGAATCTGTGCAGCTGAAGCCTAAAGAAGTGCCAGATAGAGGCACGGGGAGGGGAAGGCTCTTGGTTTCACTGCAGTTCCTTTGGCACGTCGAAAGGACCCTGCTCCGGTTGCTGCATGGAACCTGGGACAACGCAGCTCAAGATTTTTAAGGAAAGGATTATTTTTCTACTATTTATTGAACTGGAAACTCTTGGGGGGAGGGAAGGGAGAAGACATGTTAGCAATTCCCAATGACTGCCACATATATTCTGTGATGGTGAAGTGGTTCTTCTGAGGAAGACATCTGTTTCTCATTAGCTGATACTCATCCACTGCCCCCCTCTGCAAAGGGGAACATGAAGAAGTCCTTTCTGACGTGTTTACATGAGGAATGCTTGCTTTTCCACACTTGTTTTCTGTAAATATCACAACTGATTTATATTACAGTATTTTCTGCCTATTTGCAGGGGAGAAATCCTCTGCTCCATTACTAAAATCCTGCCCATAAACCTCTCCATCTTGACCTCTTCGAGCATCCTTAAAGGTTTCCTGTGTGGAAGTAACAATGAATTTCCTTAGCATTAGTTAGCAGATAATTCCAAGTGCAGTCTGGGCCATTCTTCTGTTTCCTTAGGACACTGTCATGATCAGAAGTAGGGATAAACCAGTGGGGTTTAACGCTTGGGTTACCGTGGAAGATCTCCTTTTCAAACCCTAATGATAAGCTGCTGCTGTTTGTCTGGAATTTTAACGCTGCTTGCTGGTTCAGTCCAAGATGGATTTGTCTACAACACAGGGCATCCTGGCTATGGATTAATTCACATCACAGTGTTGTATTTTAGACTCACGTGTTGGGATTACAATGCTCTAAAACCCATTCTTGCACTGTGCCTAGGATAAACATCCATTTATATGTCGGTTCCTTTTCAAGATCACTTGTTTTAATTAATATGGTACTTAATACTGTATTCTGTACAAACAATTGGTTCTTAAACAGTACAGTCAATAACTATATGTGTGATATCAGGATACCCCTTTATACTGTGTATAAAATGAAATCTCTAGTGAAATAAACTGTACATAAAGTATAGTTCTGAGGCTAAGTGGCTAGAGTGAAATAGTCTGAGTTTCCTTTCATTTTCTGCCTGAATGTGTGCTCTAACAGGAAATATTTGGTCAGATTCCTATAGTTTGTGTCCACAGATCTAAACTTTAAGTGACACTATGGAGCTGTTACGGAGTTATTTCTTTAGCATATGGTCATTAGATGGGCAGTGATTGTTGCTGGAAGCGCTCAGCCACCGCCTAGACTCCCCCAAGCCAATAATTTGTGGGTTTCTCCTTATGTGGAAGTGGATTTGCCATTCTGCTGTGTTTGTGTAGGACTGGGATGTGGGTTTTGCTGAGCAGACAGCTGGAGAAATCTATTAAGCACTGCTTTGTGCTCTCAAAGGTCTGAGCCTGATGCCCTGGAACCGCTTCTGTGTCAATCCCTAGACCCGACTCGCTGGAATTCCTGATACCGAATGCAAACTCCTGCTGGGGGTTGGACACTGGACAAAGGGGCTGTTCTGTCAGGTTTGCCTGCAGAAGAAAGTGCATGATTTTAATGGCACTGCTTGCCCAAAGAACAACGGATGCAGCCAAGAAGCAGGATTCTAAAGCACGAAGGGAAAAGAGCTTTCAGTGTGGAAACTGTTCAGCTCTGTGGAAGTCCTCGCACCGGTTTGTGCGGAACACGGAAGGAGAGGCTTTGCTGTTTCTATTTCCTAGCCCTATAGCAGCTGTACACGTGTTCTCACTAAAATTCAGAGGTAAATCCCATTTGGAATTCCAGCCAGGCCTTTCTTTGGTCTCTGGGAATGCAATGGGGAAGCTGGAATTCAGCCAGAAGCTGTTATCACATGGCAAAAGCGTCTCTGGGAGTCACTGACTTGCAAAGTGGAATGTGAGTTGTGTTTTCCCCATCTCGATGTGTATATGAAGGAATCTCGCTCGGCAGCAGCAGTTCTTTGCTCCTTGGTTGAAGTTCATGTGCAGCGATAGCAGATTAGTTCCCTTGCATATACAATAATGTCAAGAGGAGTAAAGGAAAGCACAGCTTTGGCTTGATCTGCACTTGGCTGTGCAGATCTGTGCTGCTTCTGGCATTCGTTTAAACCAGAGAAGGCTGTGGAGCGTGTTTGTAGTGAGAAGCAAGTCTGGGGCTCCCAGCACAAAAGGGACCTGGACCTGCTCGAGTGAGTGCAGAGAAGGCCACGGAGATAGAGCTGTGCTCTGGAGCCAGGCTGAGAGAGCTGGGCTGGGTCAGCCTGGAGAAGAGAAGGCTCCTGAAGGGGAGACCTGAGAGCAGCTCCAGTGCCTGAAGGGGCTGCAGGAAAGCTGGAGAGGGGCTTGGGACAAGGGATGTAGGGACAGGCCAAGGGGAATGGCTTTGACCTGCCAGAGGGGAGACTGAGATGAGCTCTTAGGCAGGAGCTCTTCCCTGTGAGGGTGCTGAGGCGCTGGCACAGGGTGCCCAGAGGAGCTGTGCATTCAAGGATTCATGGGTTCTGGGCAATCTTGCTTATACCTGAAGCAGTGGGAAAAGCCAAAGCTCCTGCTGTAAGGAAGAATTAGGTGGCAAACACAGATGTAGAGGTGTACCAAACCATCATTCCAGGTGCTGCCAGCTCTTCCTAGCAGAAATAATTGTAATGCTGGTAAAGATACTGTTGTTTGTTTAAAACCAGACCTGGTAATGGATGTAATCCAAGTTTCCAAGAGGCCGCTTGACAGCTCTTCCATTATTATTGTGCATGGTGCTGCCAGGGCCTTCCCTCCCTCATTGTTTTACTGTGGTGACAGAGGAGCAAGATGAGCAGCCAGCTGCCTGCCTTCCACTTGTACCCTGTATCCTCCTTCCCTGTATCTCTTTGGGTTCGTGGCCATTCATTTCCCAGCGATTTCATTCAAGCTGACGGTTTCCCTTCATCCTTCCAGAAGAAGCTGTTCTGCAATGAAAACAAGTGTATCCTTTGGCTCCTGTCTGCTGATGTTCCATTGCCCCGACGCTGCCGGTCTTTGAGCGCTGTGAAGTGCATTGATTTCTCCTCCATGCAGGTAACCCCTGTGGCCTGCCCAGGGCTAGAAGCTGTTTCCCCGTTCACAGGATATTGCCTGAACATGAACTGAGAGGGTTTTTAATGTGTTTATGCTCTTGCTGTGATACAAATGTGATCTGGGCAGCAGCAGAAGTTGCAGTTTGCCCATGAATGTTTTATAAGGCCACTTAAGCCGTGAAATATTATCTTTCCCCTTGCCCTTGGCACCGGCGGGGAAGACAGATGAGAATTCATGAGGTGTTCCCATGCGCAGCGCTGGCTGTGACTATAAGTGGTCAAAAGGAGCTCTCTGGCTCTCGAAGGCTTTATTCTGTGAAGTGACCCAGAAATGGTGATGAGGAGAGAACGTGTTTGTCGGGGTACAAATTACGGGAGTGAGCTGGCAGCAAACATGGCAAAGGGGTAAGAAACCAGGATGGAGAAGCCCTGGATGGAGTGCAGGGAGTGCAGGTAACCCAGGAGGCTGCATGCGAGCGCAGATTCGTTTGCAGTGCTCATAGCTGCACTCACAGATGAGAGGGAATTATTTTCCCTGCTTTATGTGCTCCGCACTGAGTCACGGAAGGACCTTGGCCCACAAGGACTTGCAGGTCTGAAGCCAAGGCTACCATGGAATTCAGACGCTCAAGTCCAAGAGTGAAGTCCTCCAACCCCTGCCTTGTTAGTGAGGTGCCAAACATAACTGGTGTCTTTGCCAGGGCATGCGCAGGAACGCTGCTGGTTTGAGCGGTGGAAAAGCCGGCTGCTTCCCTGCTTCTGCCCCGCTGATAGACGGTGCCTGCTTTGGATGGTGCTCTTTGAGGCTGGAGTAATGCAGAGCCTCTGCCTGGGAAGAGCTTGAACTGGCAGGAATTCCTCTCCAGCCCGGTGTGAACAGGAGCTTACAAAGAGGCACGTGGACTTTGCACATCTGCCTCATCCTCCAGTGAGATGTGCAGTAAACAGCTCAGCTAAGAACATGCCAAAGGAAAAGAAACGTCTCAAGTACACGCGTTGCCTTCAAATCATCAGCTCCTCTCCATGTAACCAAGGCTTTCGCTGTAATGCAGCACCATTCCATGCCCATCTGAAAGAGACAGTCCATAGCAATGCCCTGAGCAGGAGAGAAGGATGAATGTGAGGGCAGACGTGGAACATGTATTAGATGTGGAAGCTTCCCCTTCAGCTCCCAGAGGAGTCCTAGCGGCCTTGTCTGAATACTGTGGAAGAGCTCCCCTGTTGTTATGGCAGCAGGAGATGCTCTCAGCAGCCAGCAGGACCACTTGAGTTTTGTTCTCCTTTATTCTACCCTTTAGAGCTGACACGGGCAAAAGCACCCGCTTCTTGGAGCGCTGCCCAAGCAAGTGCTCCCCACTGATAGTGCCCCTCATGGAACAAACCCAGTGATAGCGAGGAAGGGAAAGGGTTGGCCCAAAAAGCACCGTGCAGGACCCTTTGCACCCCAGCCCTGGCAGTGGAACGTGAGGAGCAAGTACAGCAGCTGCTCCATGGGGAAAGGGAATAACCTCGGCCTCCAAGGCTGCCAGCTCAGCACTTTTTCCAGCAGTACGTATGTGCGGAAAGAGGTGGTGCCACAGCACAGCCGTGGTGCAAGCGGCAGTGTCTGCTCTTCAGCCCCACTCACTGTCCCACCACTGAACAATGGGGCAGCCTTGGGTTAGGTAGCCAAATCCTGAGGGATCTGGAGCACCTCTCTTGTGAGGAGAGATTGCAGGAGCTGGGGCTCTTTAGTGCAGAGAAGAGCAGCCTGAGAGGGGATCTCGTCCATGCACATCAACAGCTCCAGGGCAGGTGCCAGGAGGATGGTGCCAGCCTCTTCCCAGTGGTGCCCAGTGACAGGACGAGGAGCAAGGGCCATAAACTAACACCCAGTAAGTTTCACCTCGACACGAGGAAGAGCTTCTGTACCGTGAGGGTGGCAGAGCCCTGGCACAGGCTGCCCAGGGGCCTTGTGGAGTCTCCTTCTCTGGAGACATCCCAAACCCAGCATGGCCACGTTCCTGTGTAACGTGCTCTGGGTGGCCCTGCCTTGGCAAGGGTTGGACTGGATGAGCTCCAGAGCCCCCTTCCAACACAACCCTTGTGTGACTGTGAAATGGCTCCGGTTGGGGCAGTGCTGTTGGATTGTGCTGGGTTTAAAACTCCTCCAGTGCTCCCAGAGGTAATGCAGGCAGACACTGAGATAGGTTGGCGCTGAGACTGCAGGAAACAGGGAGCTTGGGCCAATAGTTTCCACTTGCTTATTTTCAGTCTCCCACTTTCCTGAAGCTTCAGCAATTCATTTGCTCCCCATATCAGTTCTCTTGGCACACGGTATGCAAATCGTGTGCAGCTGGGAGAGATTCAGGGTTGAGCAATTAAACTCCATGGTGTCATTCCTGCAAAATCCTAACAGCCTCTTCATGTGTGTTTGTTTCCATTGCAGCTTAACCACGGAAGTCTCTACAACCAAGTCAAAAGGTGTCGCTGCTGCAGCCTCAGCCAGAGAACCTGGAAAACAGGAAGGGAATGGGCTTTCTGTGCTCTCCCTGAAAACGGAATGAACGTGTAGAAGTTAAGGCACTTCACTAAGCGTGCTTGTAACAAAAAGTCACGTTGCATGGCAGTTTCTATGGAAACCTTTTCATAACTGAATGGCAGAACATTTTCAAGTCTCATCTATGTCTTTTTAAGAACACATAGGGAAAGTTCAGCTTGCGTTGCATCCTTTCTGCCAGGTTTCCGTATTGAACAAGCTGCAGCGGTTTTAAGGACAAAATCTGGGGTGTTTCAAATTCCATCTCTGCTGGCAGGGCTAAATCACTGCTGGGTTGATCAGAGCACAACAAAGTGCTGGTAAGCCGCCTGCTCGCTCCTTGTACCAGTGATGCAGTTAATCACAGCAAAGATTTCCTCATAGATCATAATCAGGCAGAGATAGGGCTGTAAATGAGAGAGCAACGGAGATCATAGAATCAGTTGAGGTTGGAAAGGACCTTAAGCTCAT